TGAGTGTATCAAGGATCAAAGTCCTCTTTTCTAAATATAAAACCGTTATTCCCGCTTACCCAGTGCAGGTTCCAGTAACAGCAGCTGGAAGAGTCATGGCAGATCTGCATCTCTGAGCACCTCCACATCAACGCCATCTCCCATCACCTCTACTAGGCTCTTGTTTGCATCAGCCTCCACCATCGGTGCCCTCCAGATGTTTGAATTCAGCTCCAAAACATATATTCTATATTTAGAGTGAAGGGCACCATGATGGCGAAGCCTGGTTTGCATTAACACCAGCTCAGGGTAGCCCTGACTAGCCTCAGAGTGAGGGTGGGTCATACCCTGTGAGTCGAAGGAGAAGTGGGGGATGGGGTGGTAAGAGAGCCAGGTTTCCAGAGATCTGCCTGGATTAATTTTATAGGATACTCGGTTTCCCAGCAGCCTCTGCTTCTCCAGTGCCCACACTCATTTTCTCCACCCGTTAGGAACTCTCTAGAGGCCTTTTCTCAACAGCCATATTGCTCCCCTTTCCAAGCAACTAATCTTCCTCCCGCCTCCACAGTCACCTCATTGCAACGTCAAAGTATCCTTGTCACCTTTTTGCTTTTTCATCTTTCCTATTAAGGCACATCAAACCTATACATTCTTAAGGAAATCAGCCCTGAGTGCTCACTGGAAGGACAGATTGTGAAGCTGAGACTCCAGTACTTTGGCCACCTCATGAGAAGAGAAGACTCCCTGGAAAAGACCCTAATGTTGGGAAAGATGGAGGGCACAAGGAGAAGGGGACGACCGAGGACGAGATGGTTGGATAGTGTTCTCAAAGCTACCAGCATGAGTTTGACCAATCTGCGGGAGGCAATGGAAGACAGGAGTGCCTGGCATGCTCTGGTCCATGGGGTCACGAAGAGTCGGACACAACTAAACGACTAAACAACAACAACCTTGTTGCAAGCATGCTTGCTCTTATAACTGTATTGATACTCTAGTCTGCTGCTTCCTATGAACTCTGGCTCTGATCTAGAGCAATACACAGCTGCTGCAATGCACCTGAAGGATCCTCTCACCTCACCTAAGAGATGGTAAGCACTCAGATATTGGCAGAAGGAAGAACAGGGTGGGCCCTCCAGTCCAAGCCCTGTTTAAGGTCTGGTCTGAGGAAGAGAGAGGTGCAGGGGCCTTGTAGCAGCCCATCAGCTGTTAGCACCTGGGTTGTAGACTTAGCAGCCCCACAGGTCACCTTGTTGCAGCCGTCCACAGCATAACCATGCCGAAAGACAACAAAAATCTGCTTCAAATCCCACATCAAGTCTCTAGGGAGACAGTCAGCACACTAGCAGAGCCCAGACTCAGCTCTCTGGCTTCATCTGCACTTATACATTTAAAGCAGTACCATACCACTTTAAATAGTAATGGCTTCTCCCTCAAAGAATCATGCGAACTGTAGTTTGTTAAGGGTGCTGAGCGTTAGTCAGGAGACTAATAGTCCTCTTGCAAAGTTGCAATTTCCAGAGATTCCTGGGGGAAGAGAGATTGAGCAGCAGCAGAGTTTAAAGTACAGTGGTACCTCAGGTTACGTACGCTTCAGGTTACAGACTCTGCTAACCCAGAAATAGTGCTTCAGGTTAAGAACTTTGCTTCAGGATAATAACAGAAATCGTGCTACGGCGGTGCAGCGGCAGTGGGAGGCCCCATTAGCTAAAGTGGTGCTTCAGGTTAAGAACAGTTTCAGGTTAAGAACGGACCTCCGGAACGAATTAAGTACTTAACCCGAGGTACCACTGTACAGCTTTCCCACTAAGAAAGGTACGCAGATGCCACTGCCTTATTTTAGCATAGCCTCATTTTGCTTCCAGACTGATAGGTACTCAACCGCCCAAATGTGCTTTCAGAGGGAATGTTTGAGTACATAGCTGAAAATTTGTGATGCGACTGGCTGGAAAAATCAAAGCAATGCATAAATCACTGAAGCAACAGGGGGAAGAAGGAGGAAACAGAAAGAAATAATGAGTTGTCCTGAGGACAAAAACTTGTCTTCCATCAGTGGAGGGCTCCCACCTGCAGCCATGCTGACTTATGAATCTCTAGGCAGAATAAGCTTTATTTTCAACCTCTCCTTCAGTTTCCTGAGATCTAGAAACTTGCATTTTAATTTTGAAAATGAAATTCAAGAGTTTTGAAATTCAGATTTCAAAAATAAACCCACCCACCCCCAGTAATTTCCATGAGAGGACACCAGGACTGCCCCCCCCCAAAAGGCTGTGATGGCCTTGTAGTTATCTAAAAGATTCCTGGATATTGTACTAAAACCCAGGATGCTTTGAGGGCTTTGTTTATGGAAGAGGAGGCTTTGATCGCCTTTGAGAGTGTTGTTATGCCGTTTGCCTCCTGCTTTGTTTGACTAACTGAACTTTAAGGTATTTTCAGAGCCCAAACATCTGACCCTTGTGAAACTTGCCCAGTTCTATCAGCTGCGCTTGGCTCAGTGGGGGTCCCTCTCCCTACATTAAAGTGCTTTGTGGTTCTTTGAAGACAGGCATCTCTGTCAAAAGAAAGCCAGTTCCATTGTATTGTTCGCTGGAACCACAGTGCCTCAGCCTCATACATTGCTCAGCTAAGTAGCTTTTTTTCCTCCTTTCCTTTCCAATCCAATCCTCTCCTTTCCCTTTCTCCTCTCTTTAAAGCAGCAGCAGCAGCAGCAGCCAGCACGCTTGAAAGTTCTGCGGTTTAGTTTGGAGTTCATTCATCCCTACAGAGAGAACTTGTTCTGCCAACCTCTACATACATGTCAGCCTAAATAGCAACAGATGTACTGTACCTTGGATGTATAAAATTTTCATAAAATATAACAAATGCTGTTTTTCCACTTGGGATGAGTCATTAACCATATGCTTACGATATTGCTGCTTTTTTGCTTCCCTTTCCTTTTTCCGTAATGCAAAAGTCTAACGCAGACAGTATGGACTAAATTCTGCACAGGGAGAGGGTGCTTGCAAAAGGAAAAGGGGCAACCCTTCCACTTTCTCCACTGATTAGCAAAACCTTAGCCCACATTCCCATCCCTGACAGGAAGAGGGAGCGGTAACATAGGGGTTACCAAAGTCGGGGTAGTCTCTGGTCACAGCTGGCTACAAGAGTGATGTCCATGAATAAAAACTCTCAATCCATGGTTATGACACCACATCACTCCCTGAGGACTTGGGGTATCTTTATTATGACTGAGCATTCATCTCCGACACCCTACTAAGGGCATCTCCAGACTGTTGCTGTTTTGCAGGAAGGATTTCAGCACCTATTGGATGTTGAAGCTATTGCTTTTTATTATTATTTATTAAATTTGTATACCGCCCTTCAACCACCACAAGGTGGTTCACAGCATAAAAATACAAAATGAGAACACAAAATAATAAATGAAAAACAGACGACCTCCCACAAACAAAATTTAAAAGCCATAGAACGTTAAATAGCCAAAGACCTGGTACTAAGAGCAGAGTGGTCCACCATGAAGCCTGGGAGCTACATGCAGCCCTCGAGGCCATTTTTGGCAGCCCTAGACAACATCCAGGACTTCTTAAAATGGTTTGAGTAGCTGACTTTTTTTTCTGTTGTTGCTGTGAGGCACCCGTGAAAACAAACAGCAAAGGTACTTGTCCTGTCTCCCTCAGCCTGTGCGAGGCCAAATAGGCCAGCCTCAGCACCCAATCTCACCTGAGGCTTGTGTGTTTGTGTGTGTGTGTGTGTGTGTGTGTATGTAAGTAAGTAAAAGTGGGGCCCACTTGTTCTGAGAGGTTGGACCGCCCTAGATGAGATGAAACTTTCCAATGCATTTCCGCCATCACTTTTCTTATCACAAAAAGACTTCCCGGTCAACTATAATGGCATGTCTTGAATTTGCCAGTATCCCACCCAAAAAGGTCCAGAAGTAATCTAAGCCTAACTGCTTCATCTGGTGTGCTGAGACCACAGGCTGGATCCAGCCAGGCCACACCAGCAATTCTCCATTCCTGCTCTAGGTATGCCTCTGAGCACAAGTTGCTGGGAGGCAACAAGCGGTGAGGGGTATCGTCTGCATGACCTGTTTCCTAGGGGCATCTGGTTGGTTGCTGTGGGGAACAGGATGCTGGACTTGATGGGCTTTTGGTCTGACCCAGAACCCAGCACCTTCCCTTGCAAAAGCCCCTCTCAGCAAATGAGTGCTTTTATGCAAAGTGTGCTCAGGGCTCCCCCACCCCTTGATTTTGTGCTTCGATAGGTACTGTGGCTGTGCCTCAGGCGAACGCACCTGAGTGTTCCCACTGAGACAGCGCACCTCTACGTGGCTGTCAATATGAACCATCTCAGCATCAATCCGCTTGACTTGTTACCTTTAAAGCAGAGTCTTTAATTAAAATGCTTTGAGGTAATTAGGCATTTGAAGGGTAGTTGCCTGTGTTATTCTGAGAAGGCAAGAGGTGTCAAGGATACGTTTCAGCACTTCGTTTTGCAAAAGTAATTCCTCCAGAATCCTTTATCATCAGACAGAAAACATAATTTACCGATGTATTTCCTGACTTGACTACAACACAGTTTTAGGGCCCAAATCAGTTCATACATGATTGTTGGTGGAGGGTAAGGGTGGGGCAGAAGGTCCCCTCCAAGTAGGAAGGGAAGACAGGAAAGTCTTGTGGCGCAAACAGAACTCCATTTGTATCGCTCAGGATCCAAGGGGATGGCAGCAGACATGGACAACCTTCATTTCAGACCAATTTATTGCACAGTAAAGTGGTGTGTTGTGAAAGAGGACCAGGTGGGCCTGTTTGGTATGAAACATATGGTGGTGCATTTATGGGAGAAGTTTCAACGAGCAACAGACTCACTAGACTCAGTCTCCATTTTCCACTAGCTGCCGGGAAGAGGCTGCTCTTTTCCGCATGGGCAATCTGCATAGTAGGCTTATGTCAAACCATTCATAGAATTATAGAGCTGGAACGGACCACAAGGATCATCTAGTCTAACCCCCTGCAATGCAGGAATCTTTTGCCTAACATGGGGCTCGAACCCATGACCCCAAGATGAAGAGTCTCATTCAAACACCTGCTTTGACACAAACAAAATAGAATCATAGACTGGAGACAGCTTTTAAGGCCATTTTGTCCATGCGTGAGGAACCTCAGTCCAAGGGGCTGTATGTGGCCCTCCAAGCCTCTCTTTATGGCCCTCATGACTCTCATGAAGCCACACACCCTTCCTAAGCAACATCCATTACGGGCCCTGTTATGAACCCTCCTTGAGTGCTTTTGCCTGAATGGGAAAGGTCTATGAATGCTGATAACGCTTTCTGCTTGTCTAGATTTAGAACTTAAGGGGGGGGGTGAGTCTCATGTACAAAGGTAACATTTACATTTGTTGCACATGGCTCTCAGAAGGTTGCCCTTGGGCTGACAAAGGTTTCCCAGTCCTGAGCTAGTCCAGTCCTCTGCTCAGGACAGCAAATGTAGAGCTGGAGCATCACCAACAGAAAGGTGTCCTACCTGTGCTGGAAACCCTCAGTGAGGAACCGGGTCCTACCACACACACACACTTACACACTGCTGCCACCACCCTCCTTGGTGATAAGTTCCATTGTCAATCTGCTCTTACCATTAATAAGTTTCTTCTAATGTTCAACTGAAATCTACCCTCTTGAATTATGCAAGCTGATGTGCAGCACGTTTCGGCCACCATTCATGAATATGAATTATTGTCAGCGGTGGAATTATTCTGCTATTGAAGAGGCTGAAAAGTTCATTGTTGCCTGCCTTAGTTTCTGCATTTGTTTTTATGAGTCTTGCACTGAGTGATTATCACTCTGACAATGAAGAACAAACTGTCATGGTCCCTTGCTGCCTGCAGCTTTTAATTTAAGCAGACAGCTAGGAACTTAGGATTCACAGCTTAAACAGATGGAAAGGCTCAAGCGAAGAGGTGCCGCTTGCAGCTTCTTCTAAACGTGGCCCGTCTTAAGCTGAAACATATTTTTGTATGGAGAGGATTCCTGGAGGTGTTAGCTTGACTGTCTAGTGAGCTTCACTCTTGGGTAAAAGGCTTCCAGATTACCAGAAGACCAGCATATATATGTAGCAGAAGGACTAGGTGTACATTTTGTTTTACTGCTCAACCTCCTTCACAAAGACATAACACTTCCATGCAATCTCTACCTCAGTCCCACTTCTAGAGGCATCGTCAAACAAACAGCTCTTTTCTCCACACAGAGAGCCAGGTCTAAGAGGTGAACCACTTGGTCTATTGATCTGTCTGGACAACGATAAAAAGGATGATGTATTTATCAAGGTAAAGGTAAAGGTAAAGGTAAAGGGACCCCTGACCACCCGTTGTGGCCGACTCTGGAGTTGTGGCGCTCATCTCGCTTTATTGGCCAAGGGAGCCGGCGTACGGCTTCCAGGTCATGTGGCCAACATTTGGCGAAGATAAATTACTAGACCATGTGGTACCCTCCTGATGTTCATCTCTGACCATTGGCCATGCCGACTAGTGCCAATGGGAGTTGTTGTCCACAACACCAGCAGGACGACACCATGTTGACTATCCCTCTGCTAGGCAGATGGACAACGCCACCTGATGTACCAGGAAGCAAACAGGGGCAGTTGTGCTACACTTGATCTTAGCCAAAAGGCCGAGAAGCAAACAGGGGCAGATGTGAATAGATGAGGCACATCTGAAAATCTGGGATTCTCAAGAGCTTCTTCCATAGCTACTTGGAGTGGCGGGCTTGTCCACTTTGCCTCTCCTTTCACATATCCTAGGCTAAAACTAAGCAATTCAGTTGATCTTCTGCATTGTTCCACTTTCTTCTTCTTCTGTGTTAAATTCTAGTCTTTGTAAAGTTAGGGTCTAATGTTATCAGGTGAAGTCTATATAAACGGATATCCTAACTCTGAAGTTTATGCACAGAACATTATATGACCTTTGGAAAAATGGTTTGTTTGTTTCTGTTTTAATGTGTTGAACTTGGTGCCAATGGTATTGTTTCAAAATGAATGTGCATTTGTTGAACTCATCTTGCGTACAGTTCAAATGGGTGACTAATCTTTTTTTTTTTTTTACACTTTCACACCACACTGGCACACACCTAGGACATACACACACAGTCCCTCCATATCTCATCCATGCTTATCAAATGATCCATCTGATAACCAAGGAGGTTACTTGCACCAGGGAGCTGGGCTGACAGAGACATTTAAACCTCTCCACCTATTGCAGCACTGTGTGTGGGTTTCTTTTTTATTTTGGCACTGACACTCTAATCTGTGGAGTCACAGGGGAGGGGGGGGGACAAAAAAACAACTCCTCTGTACACAGTGTGCTTGCTGGATTCTTATATTAACACCAATTTACCATTAAGCAGCCTTGCCTATCTCTAGCTCAGTTATGGGGATCTACTGGACTTCAGTTCCCATCAGTCTCAGCCAGCAAAGGCCAGGGATTATTGGAGAAGTCCAACAACATTTTCTAGAGGGACATATTTTTCCCTTCCTGCTGTACGCCTATTTCTTAAGATCTTCTCCTGGTGCTGATGATCTTCACTAGGTGCTTCCTGGAGGTACACTATTACACAGCAAAGGGAAGGGCCTTTTCAGCCTGGCCACGAAATGCCATAAGAGATTCTCCTTGTGGCAACATTACAACCTTTCAGGTGCCAAGCGAAAATGAAAATAGGCATTTTCTTGTAAATTATTGTTACATTTGCTTTTATCTGTTCTTTTATTGTTGTTTCTACTAAGATACAAATTCTTGTACACCGTCATGAAATCCCAAACAGAATGAAGGAGTGAAATATATGAATGCTTTAAATAAATAGTGGGGTACAACATTCAGAGTGCAAGAGGCACGATGCTTGGGAAACTGGTAAGAAACATGTTTCAGTTTCTCTCGGCACTGAATGCAAGGGCTGTGCTCAAGCTGCCCCATAAAACAAGTATTTGGCACGTATTGCCAATGGGCTGCCATGCAGCTATTGGAAATGTTCCAAGTGTTCGTGTTGTAAGCAACACCAGCAAAGCGATATTGGATCCCCAGCAGTTGTCATGCAAAATTATTCTCAATCCATTTCATTCTCATGAGTACCATCGTCCTCCACCTCACCTTCACAAGAGGCAGGGGCAGAAGGATGACAAAACAAAGCTCTTTTCTGACAGAGGAAGACTTCTTAAGAGAAGGAGAGATGTCAGAACACCACAACCTGGCTGAAATAATGTTCAGGCGAGCAAGAACACCACAAAGCACTAAGAAGCAGAGAAACCTTGTTGAGAGTGCCACAGACATTAAAACACACACAGGCAGCAAGGGGAGGGCAGGCTATGTGTGTTTGGCAGGGAAGGTAGACCTGCAAGTCCCTTCCACTCTGGGCTCGGCATCAGCTTAAATTCAAACCAGGCGTGAGGAATATGAGTCTTTGTGAGAGCTGTTGTCCATACTGTGCTGAACAGAAAGGAAACCTGAGCTGGTCTAGGGCCTGGCCTGAGAGCTTTGAAGTGATTTCTCTTGGTAAGGAAATCATTTCCTTTGTCTGTGCATGTTCAGAAAAAATGCCTCATCAAAGAAATGGTTCCCACCAGGCAATTCATATTGTAATTACTTTACACAAAAGAGTGCATGTTTTCTATTCCTGGAAACGGGGGGAGGGCATCAAAATACGTCGTACATATTACAAGCACAAACTGGCTCACTTAATAGGTTGCAGTAAATTTGGGGTTAGACTAAATGGGTTTGGGGGTCCTCTCCAAACCTGTGATTTTATATCTTCTGTAAAATGGGATTTCTGCAAAGAAAGGGGGACTGCTAAAAAAAAACGGTCAAACCACTTTCTTTGTTAAGTAAATGGCCCTTGCCAGGTGGGTTGAATATTGGCTTTGTTATGTTAGCTTTGGCCCAAGTGTTGCCATAGAAACTAAACAGCTGAAGATGCTTCTAGAAGCCTAGCTGAAATGAGAAGACCTTTCTCAATTGATTTGGATGAAGGAGCTGGCATCAAGGTGTGTGTCTGAAGGAGAACAGAAGGAACCTCAGTCTTGAGGTAAGATATAGAATCATACAGAGGCCAGATTTGCTCTCTGTGAGAACCCAAAACTGTAGGTTTAGTGCCCCCGAAGTCTAATAAGGGAACAAGATTTGTTGGAGTATTAATGCTAGGCTCCTCCCATCTTATGCTCAGTCTGTGTGTGTGTATGTGTAAACAAACCAACCAACCACCCACAACCCAACAGTGACATTCCTTCAAAGGAAACCAAAATATGTACTGGGATCCCTGAGAAAACGTACTGTTCAGAGATTGGGGGCTTGTAACAATATGCTATTTACTGAAACTATTTGTATGCCGCATGTATTTTCATATGCATTTTTATAATAAATGCCTACCATACTCATACCACATTTCACATTTCCTAAAGTAAGGACACATAACTCTTTTATACATATTATAATATTACCTTTGATGTGCATTTTTGCATGTAAATCTTACATATAAATCTTGCAGGCTTGCTTTATTTAGTAGCTTATTTGTTTATTTAAAAAGCACCTGACAATGTATGAGCAGTTCAGACAGAAGGGATTGCTCAATACAGGAGGCAGCCAGATGTGAGGAAAGCTTGATCCAGTCAGAAGTACTAAATTCTGTGTATAAATCTATTCAAAACACATTCCTCCTGCTTGCCTACCCTGGACATTAATAGCTTCATTTGCTTCACCATGACTCAGAAAAGTGCAACTTTGCCTTGGGGGTGGGGGACAGCTTCTTCAACTCCTTACAGGCCACCAAAGAGGTAGACAGGACCCTTCCTAGGGTGTCACAACCCCAAACATTTTGGGAGGACAATTTGGGGCTCCCCTCCACCACCCCACCAACCCTGTCACCCCGTCACCCCCTCCCTGCCGCCAATCCCTTTCTCGCCTGCCTGCTCACTGCCGCAACCTGCTCACTCGCCCTCTCCCCTCTCCTTTACCTTGTTTGCTGTCTTCTGCCTTCAGCTATGCAGCCTCAGGAGATGCCATGTGATCCAGAGCGGCCAGTGGAAGTTTGCCACACCCTGCACAGCATTGAGAGACACCGCAGCAGCCAGAGCATGGAAGCCAAAATGGGACATCCAGGATTGTGTCCTGAACCCCTGGCCTACCTGGTAACAAGTCAGTATGCAAGCAAGGCCTAAAGTCCAGGAAACACAGTCCAGGGTCAGTCCAAGTAAGCCAAGTCTAAAGTCCAGCAGTCAGGCTACAGTCCAGTCAAACCCAAAGCACAGTCCAGGAGTATCCAAGCCAAAATCCATCTAAATTGGCTGTTGAGGAGACACAGCGCCTCAGCTCTGCTTCCCTTGTGTGCTTTGCCTGCTGGGCTTGATGAGGCATATGACCCTCACCTGTTGGAGCTGAGGAATCACACTCTTTCTCTCAGAGCTAGCGAGCCCCACCTGGCCAGCTAGAGAGCTGGGCTGTGGGCCCTTGCCTGCCTCAGCCTCCTAGAGCACCCCTCCTTGCTGCTCCCTACTTCTAGAGCATGCCATGTTCATGGAGACAGGGGCCCCTCTGGCTTTAGGGTCCTGCTGCTCTGGGTCCTGTGCAATGACCCCCATTCCCTCACCATCTTCTGTCACCCTATGAGTACTTCCCTCCCCCAGGCTTACCCCGATGTGTCCCAGTCCTGGTTATACCCCTCCTCCTTCCCATCATACTGCCACTTCGTGACAGATTGGGATCAGAAGATGGGGCAACTTCTGTCAATCTGGGAAGTCCCAGTTAAATCGGGGAAATTTGGGAGTTATGGGGTGTCCCAGGTTTCCTCTGTGTGCAGTCCTGTATTTGAAGGGATGTCTGGTTCAAATACAGTTTAAAGGTAAGGAACCCTTTGCTGATGTGTGGAGTGTTAGAGGCATCTCCGTGTAAGTATAGTTCTTGATAGCGCTCTGCCCATTGCTGCTGTCTGTGATTATCTCTCCAGACAAGGTTTACAGCAGTGCATTTTCTTGACTTATGGTCCAGAGGCTGTCTCCGTGTACATTTTGTGAGTTGAATACTCTGACACAGCTTTAGCCTGTAGACAATGGCACATCAACTGGCAAACCACTGGGCATTGCTCCTCGCCTTTCTGAGTACAGCTTGTGTCTTCTCACAGTAGTGAATATTCAACGGAATCAGAGAAGCATTCAAAAAGTTCAGGTATGGCTGTTTGGGCAGTGTAGATTCAAGACCACACTTTCTGCTTTGAGCTATGGGCCCTTGAGAAAGATCTTGCTTGCTACCAGGGCATGATCTGTGTTACAGTTGACACTGTGGTAGCTCCATGTGACAAAAACACAGTTCAGTACCAATCTCCTGCTGCCAGTGGCCTAATCCTGGATATCTTCAGGACACTTGCTGCTTTGTCTTGGTAGAGAAGAATGTGTTTGTGATGCAGAGGCTGTGATACTGCCATCCATACATTTGAGGTAACCTGTACTGTTGTTTCTGGGGACTTTTGTTTTTCTCTAATGAATTGTTTCTAGTGACCAATAAGAAAAGTAAGTAGGTCAAGTGGGCTCTTTCACAACCATTTAACTGTGGTTTCAGCCACCAGGGGAATAACATGTAAAATGTGTGCCATGCCATTGTCTCTCTGAACACAATTTTGATTTTGAAAGCGTAAGGAGAAGATCCACATTGTAGTGTCACTGTTGGGTTAATTTCCAGCTTATTCTGTGAGGCTCACAAAACAGATACACAACACCGTGTGCTCATATGATAACATTGTTATTTAAAAATAAAACACTAATGATAACTGATGAAATCTATTTTTCACTTTTTGTCCTGTTTGGCCTGATTTATTAATAATTTGTGTTCTGTCATGGAAACAGGCTTTCTGTTACTTGCACTGTGCCCTGAAATTGTTTTAACAGCAGCTTATATTTTACTATTGGGTGACTTTTAGGAGCCATTGCAGTGCACAATGCCATCTCCATATCTTTAGTTCAGAGATTTCAGAAGGACACCCAAATTCTTCATGGAGTAGGGTGGATTTCCATTGCAGTATTTAAGAGTTTTTTTAAAACTGGTCTTCTTCACATAATAATCCTGGGCAGTTAAAATGACTAATATGCTGCTGTTGTTAGTGGATGTCTTCTGGGTTACCAAGGCAGCCTGAGATTGGCATAAGGTGTGAACAGGACCGTGGCTGATAAAAGTTGTGACAGCAACAGCAGCAGACTAAGCTATTCATGCTTTCTGCTTCTTTTAAAGAGAAAATAGCCATTTGGTTCATAGCGTTTGAACTTGAGGAGAGGTGGGGATTTTTAAATATTGCTGCAAATGGGTCACACCTCTTCATTCATTAAATTAAAGGAAAGCACTACCTCATAGAATCATAAAATTGTAGAGTTGGAAGGGACCCTGGGGGTCATTAAGTCCAGCCCTCTGCAATGCAGGAATCTCAAATAAAGCACCAATGACTGCTGGCTATCCAACCTCTGCTTAAAAACCTCCAACGAAGAAGAGTCCACCACCTTCTGAGGGAATCTGTTCCTGCCTCATGCAAGTCATGCCAGAAGATGTGCAATGGGCTCACCCTGCAGCCCTACAAACTCAACATAGCCATCAACCTCAAATTGGACACTGTTCCTCTGTTCCTTCTAGCATTTTATTGTTCAGAATTTAGCTCGTGCTGTTCCTAGTATTCAGATCTTTTTTAAAAAAACAATCACTTTGCCATGATGTGACTGAAAGGTGACAGGAGGCGGCTAGGAGTCTGACAATCTGCACAGCATCCTCCCCTTATACCATAGAGGCTGCTTGTACCAGACAAAAACTAGTAGCGATTTCTCACAGTTGTCAAAGGCCAGCCACCGCATTTCATGTAATAGACAAAAGGTCTTCACACCACTGCATTCTGTATAACAGGAGTATTCTGTCTCCCTATCTCTCTGCTACAAAATTATTTTAATGGACCCTGTCAAACTTTGTTTCCTAATAACTATGTCTTAATTTATCTCAAGAGAAAGAACAGCATATAACCTCTCACAAATGACTAAGAATATTTGCCCTCAGGGCCAGCTCAAGACATTTTGCTCCCTGAGGCAAAGGACATTACCACTTTATATGGTCATGGATTCCCTCAAAGAATCCTGGGAACTGTAGTTTTTTACCAGTGCTAAGAGTTGTTAGCAGGCTCCTACTCCCTTCACAGACCAACAATGCTAGAGTGGTTTAACAATCAATCTCTCTTCCCAGGGAAGTCTAGGAACCGTAGATCAGTGAAGAGAATAGGAGGATCTCCTAACTACTCTCAGCACTGTTAATAAACTAACTTCCCAATATTCTTTGGGGGAAGCCATGATTGTTTAAAGTGGCATGGGACTGCATTAAATGTCAAGTGCAGATGGGGTCTTTCTGTCTCTTGACTGCCAATATCTGCCTCACTTCCACACTACACATTGTATTGTTAAGCACCGTGCAGATGGAAGTATGAGACAATTTCAGCACCCCATTGTTCACACATTAGCAGATAAAAAGGAGTACGAACCACATGCTATTTTAGCTCATCTCATAAAATGTGAACAAGTTCTCTCTGAGCCCCCTTCAATATTCTTCTACAATTACAACTTGTGTAACATTTTCAATAAGAAACTGAGATTAGATTACAGTTCTGGAAAGTAGAGCATTGGCCCTTTTAAAAATGTCTGTTGTTAACAGCCTTGCCAAATTAATTATATGTCCCTAAAACTGAAATTATTTCTGTGCTGGGAAACAGTCATATCTCTCTGCCCCCTCTCTTCGTTTGGCAAGTGTAAAGACTTCTTTCAATCAAGCATTTCCAGTGCAGTGCAGTTAGGGATATAATTGAATAGGTTGTAAAATGTACAGTATGTAGCATTTGGAGGCCAGTCTGCTAGGGATTTTCTTCAAGAAGCCTGGGTTACTGCACTGCATCTTAACTGTCAAGCTATTTTTTTCCTTGCTAGGTTTCATTTTGTGTTATTTCTTCACCTTTTGGAGACCCCTTACCTCTCCCCTCTTAAATCTACACTCACCACCGAGCAGACATAATCCAAGATTTTCAGTAAATCAACACTATATGCTCCCTACTGACTAAGAGAATTTGATACTGACAGATTATTACACCTAGAAGAAAAATACTGCCATAGTTTCTCTAACATTATTTGCCTGGAAGTGAGAGCAGGGAGAGAGACGTGTGTGATATCCATTATGAATGTAACAATGCCAGTATTCTGCTGTAATAGAATTATTTTTAATTTATATTTCATGACAGAGAACATAGGTTTCACCATGAATCTCTTTCCCCATCTTTAGCACATTTTGGCCACAAGGTCCTGGAGATACAATTAGCCTCCTTAATCACTGTGATTATTTAGACCACAACAATGCCATTGTTTTAGCTCATGAGATCTATCCAACACAATAACATTTTGTATTTATATGAACGACAGATTATTCCACTTGATAATCTCAACATGCTTTGCAAGCATTTAATTAATGCAGCCTCTTAATGGCACTGTGAAGTAGGTAAATATTCCTTTCTGTATTTTACCAAGAAGAATGCTAGATGTAGTAGTAGGCTGAGATAGTGTGTACATTACCCTCCCTCAGAGCAGGAGGAATGGAGAATTTCATGGGAGATTATTTCAAGATCCTGCACAATAGGATATTCTGATTCAAGTTTGTTGCAAAAATTCCTTGGAAACCAAGGTCCAGTTTGGGGCAAGAGAACCCCAGCAGAGATTTAACATGGCAAAACCTGCAGCAAAGAAAAGTGTGGAAATATAGACTGTAAAACCTTTAAAGTGAGCCCTTTCCAGTGAACTCCAAAATGTCCCCTTTATAAAGCTCCTTCCAAAGTTTCCTACTCCCCTTAGCATAGAAAAATGTTTGGAAAGTTATAAAATGGTTATTTACAAACTCTCCAAAGGTCAGATTCATGTGGTCTTCCACACAGCAGTAAAAAACAAACAAACGTTGAACAGGCAGTAAAATGTAGCTTGGTTACAAAATGGTAAAAGTTCCTAAACTACTGGTATAAGAAAACACTATTTTCAGTCTCCATTCTGGTCTGAAACAAAAGAGGCTGGTTAAAGCCATGCGGCTGGAGGAAACAATTCAGAGCTCCTCACACACCATAAAGGCTGAGGGAACAAAGGCTTGGTCATCTATTTCTTTTCAAGGTGAGGGGAAGCGGCATAAGCTAATACTAAAGCAGGACAGAAGACAGGAGTGCCTGGTGTGCTCTGGTCCATGAGGTCACGAAGAGTCGGACACAACTAAACGACTAAACAACAACAAAGCAGGACAGCTTACTCTATGGCATCATCCCCTTCATGCATTCATTAGACTCAAGCATGCTGGTTATATGAGGCTGGTTTAGCCCACAAAGTATTGGTATGGTGGGCATTTGGCTAGGGCTGCTTTCAGAAGTGTCTGCTATCCAATGGTTGTTCTTACTCAGTAAGCTACAATGAGAATTGCAGCTGACTTTCCCTACTATCAAGAGTGCTGTACTTTTCTCTATGAGTATGTGCCAGTGGGTGTGGCATATTTGCTTTGGGTGCAGTCCTTCTGAATGTTTTAACTGGGACAAAAATGCTCATCTAGCTATGAAATAAAGGTCTACAACACCATAATGCTGTAATGACTAATGGGCACCTAATTTCAGTAGGAATTCTTTTGCCATTCTTTTGCCAACTGTTAAGGACCCATCTGTTAACCTTGACCGCTAGTACCGGTCCTGATGCCTTGGTATGGAAACATTTTTCTGAATCTCTTTGTTATTGTGGTAAATGAAAAGTGGTGTATAAATTTGCTAAATAAAGAAATATATTTCATATTTTTTTCTTTAAAAACAAACAAACAAACACTTCCTGGTCACTTTTAGCAACCAGATGGTTTTAGCAACATCATTGATGACAGTGACTGCAAAGGGTCTTTTAAAAATCTTTTTTAAAGCAACATTATAGTGGTTTGTTTTTTTATGCACTTTCTCCTATAACCCTTCAGAACAGCTCCAGCTGTTGGCAGTACATAAGCACTTCCGGTTCCACTGGGGAATCTGTCTTACTGCAGAGACCAGTATGTAGACAGTAGCCTTGAGCAGGGATGGAAGGATAAATTATGTTGCATGAATCCTCCCTTCCTCTGTGAAGGGACTGCAGGGAAAGAGGAAGGCAAATTGGGCTCTGAGACTGCACTGTTGCTATACACAGCACACTTCTGCACACCAAAGGAAAGATTAGCAACGCCCTCCTCTTCCCCTCCAAAGTCACTGGATGGGGAAGGGCAAAATCCAGCTGTTTCTTCTCCTTTGCCCCTGGGAGAAGAGATTTCCCCCAAAGTTCACCTTCCCACCATCACCACCCCCCATTGGTTTTCACAGGGATCCCAGTCACTTGTATGTATTAACAAAGCAATAAACTTTTAGAAAACTTATTTAGAGTAATAGGTACAGTCAGTCATCATTTCCATTTACAGGCCAAGGCCACCCATTGAATCCTCCTTAGCAAAGGAGGTATTTGAACTCAGGTTGACCATGCTATTTTCTGGGATTACATTGGTTAATACGCTGTGTTTAAATCCCAGGCATTTTTGTAAGATTAAGTCCTAATAATGACTCTTTAGATTTGCACAGTAGCATAGCACACGGCTGGGGCTATACAAATATGATAAAACAAAATAACTGTATCATTAACACCAATCAAAACATCATTTTGTGATAAATCCACATGCAAATTGCTCCCCCTTACTCCAGTTTGTTTACTTATTTTTTTGAAAGGAACATTCACTGAATGATTCGCCGTTAATGGAGAAGAGAAGATTAAGAAACAAAAACAGTAGCTTCAATCCATCATTAGGGAATTAATCAATTGGCAACCAGTGCAGGCAGCTATTTAGATCTGTGGCCTGAACAGCTTAATTGGGAGAAGCATGTTAAAAGGTCTAGAATGATGTTCAAAGGAACATAAATAGTACATTTTGGACTTCTCATCTGGCTTTGATTTAACAGTTTCTATACCAGGCACTTTAGGAAGAGAGCAAGAAAGAGAGAACACATTCTAGGCCTAATCAGAATATTCTTTCTTGACCTCATAACAAAGGGTCATTTGCATTTTAAAAAAGTAAACAAAAATAGCTTTAAAAGGGTTTGACTCCTCAGCATTTGAACATTTTTGCCAGCTATCTCTGAAGAGTACATTAATAATGAAAAAAACACCCAGAAATATCAATCGGAAAAAGAAACTCACAACAAAAGCAGACAGACTCCACTCCCCCCATCTCAAAATATTGAGAATCTCCAGGGGCAGCACTCCCTGGGTTTGATTTGTTTTTGGGTGGGGATAAGGAGTAGGGACAATCCAGGCAGAGGCATCACTACCGCAGTTCAGGACTCCAGAGAGATGCACTTAGCACTAACAAGGTGCCTTCAACCAGTCTCTCTCTCTCAACTTACCCCCTGTTTTGTCTATGTTCTAAAACTACCGTACCTTTGGTGCTCAGACAAGGAGGAAGGGTGTTAGGCAGATAGAGAGACACTGTTGGACTCAAGTGCCTAGCAACCCCAGCTAGCATGGCCAGTGGTGATGAGAGAGTTCTAATACAACACAACATCTGGAGGGCTACAAGTTGAGGACAGCTGCTTTACTCTCTCTCACACTCTCACGCATGCACAGACACACAACACAAACCTTTATCAGCTTTCTTTCTCTTAGATGGGCAAGGGAGTATGTGTAACCTTTCTGAAGCTTTGATGATGTGTGTCCCCCCCTGCAACTTCTACACATTCTATACAGATGTCTGAGTATTTCCGAACCATTAGCAATCTCCATTATCGAGCAATCTCCTTAGCAAAGTCACAATAAGGTTTTTACTCAGTTAATGGATAGGTTACACTTGAATCTCCTGCCAACCTAGCAGTTCGAAAGCACGTCAAAGTGCAAGTAGATAAATAGGTACCGCTCCGGCGGTAAACGGCGTTTCCGTGCGCTGCTCTGGTTCGCCAGAAGCGGCTTAGTCATGCTGGCCACATGACCCGGAAGCTGTACGCCAGCTCCCTCGGCCAATAAAGCGAGATGAGCACCGCAACCCTAGAGTCGGTCACAACTGGACCTACTGGTCAGGGGTCCCTTTACCTTTACCTTTATACTTGAATAGTTTTCCCTTCCTGTTCCAGGTGTGATTTCCAAGCCATCCGAAAGAAGCAAGACCATGCCCCAGAATGCCTAACAGGGCTTAGCCTATGAAATGTGTGTGTCCTTCTACCTATCTAAGGAACAAATTATACATGATATTAAATGTATCTTTGCATTTAATGTGCACTATTAAAAAAGCATAATTATCAGGACTACCACAGACAAGGAGGAGCAGCTCAATTTTCCCTGCTGCAGTAGTGAGAAAAATTGCTCCTTTGAAGCTGCTCTTTGCAGTTTGAAGAAATCCCCCCTTGTCACCAATGTGCGACAAGCCAGTTCCCTTCCCAACACTCCATTCTGTTCTTCCAACATCCTGTCACACTTTGGTGTGACCAACGAAGAGAAACCCAAAGGCTATGCAGACAGAAGCTGTCTTGATAATTATTAATACCTGTGGCCACCAGGTACAGGAATAAGTTATGCCTCCCCACTGTGTGCCCAAGTGCACACCTACTTCATACATCCCCATAACTCACTAAAATAGTTTCTGTCACTAGCAGTGTATAGGCCCATCTTAGTCTGGTCAGTTAGCTACAGCTGTTCATGGCTAGCCGGCTCCACTCACTTCTCACCTGGACTACTGCAATGTGCTGTACATGGGACTGCCCTTGAAGATGGTTCAGAGACTGCAGTTAGTGCAGAATGCATCTGCTAAATTGGTAAGCGAGGAAGCCTGATGGGACCGTGTGACACCAGTCCTAAAAGCCTTGCATTGACTGCCAGTGTGCTACCATGCCCGATGTGTTACTACAAGCATGCAAAGCCCTAAACAGCTTTGAGCCCAAGTACCAAAAAAGACTGCATTTCTGTATAACACCATATTGGGCCCTAATATTGGCAAGGATGGCTCTGCTAATGGTGCCACCCCAGGGTGCTATCTCATTGGCACTGACAGGGCCTTCTCAGTTGCAGTTTACCATTTGCTGAATGCCCTCTCTGGTGAGGGGCATCTGTTTTCCTCTTTATTAACTTTCAGGAGCATTCAAAACATTCCTGTTTACCAAGACATTTGATGGCTGAATGTTTCTGTTCCTTGCAACCTTGAAATGATTAGCTGTAAGAACATGTGATTGTTTTTTAAATGGTTCTAAACTGATGTTGTTGTTGTTGTTGTTGTTACAGCATTGTTCTGGTGTTTTTTGCTGCCCTGGGTTCCTTGGTGAGGAAGTGCTGGATTTAAAATTAATAACTAAACAGATAAAGCAAAATAAATAAATTAAATAAATAAACAAATCTATCTTTTGGGGGTTATTTTTATACTTTGGAAATATGGCCCAGATCAAGAAGTGTATGGTACAACTTCACACGTGTCTGCCATTAGGGCAATCTGGTATCTATCTATGAGACACATCTTCTCGGCGCAATCGCAAACACACTCTTCATTAGTAACAGAAAATGATGCATGTGGTTACCTACCGCAGTGTGAACATGCTGCTGCCAGAAGACTTTCACATGGAATTGCTTAGCTGAAGGCCCCTAAATGTTTTAACATCTCCAGGAGACAGCACCCTGACAATGTAAGTAAACCCAACAAACCTTATGAATGTATTGTACATGACGTTTATTTTGGAGCAAACATGTTGCCCTGCATTCCAACCCCCTGGAGGCACGGTGCCATCCTCTTTATTCGTCAAGAGTATGCCCAAATCCCAGAGTTGGCTGATCTGCAGGAGGCCCACACGTTCCCTGTCTCTGAAAAGAAAATCCAGAAGGCAGCCTTCAGAATTTATCCAAACACAATGGTTGTTGGACAGACTAGACATTTTGAGACGCTTCATAAAAGTGGTGTTTGATGGGTAGTTGGCTCTTCTGTGGTGGTGAAGCAAAAGTCTATCTTGATATTTAGGAACAATAGCTGGGCCAATTCCATCTCATTTTTTAATGCAGAAAAAAATAAATCATAAGAATTCAATTGATGCAAGGCCATATTGTGGGCTATATCCAGAAACAGATTTCTGTTTTAAGTCACTCCCATGAGTGCGGAATAACAACAGATATGTAGGGGTGAAGCCAAGTCTCAAATCTGATTTCCTAATCAAATGGAAGTGTTTTCTTTTATGTTTGACCTACTTGCCTTAGAAGCTGTTGGCAATTTCTCCATAGTCTAATAATGCATTTCTAACACCCCTAATTATTTGTAAGGTGAACCGCACGGCACAAATAGTTTAGAATCGCTTTCTTGCCCCTGAACTGTAGCATCACTTGCGTGGTGTATTTGGATCATCAGAACTGAGAACCAAGGTAGGAAGCTCTTGGGGCGCAATGTGCAGCCAAGCTCTTCCCACTTCACTATTCACGTTGCTGATCCTAGCTTCATCTTCTAAAACAACACACAACTGATTGGTTAGAACAGCAGAACTGGAAAGGACCAACATATACAGCCCAAACCTATATTGTACACCTCAGCAGACGACAGAGCAACTCAGATCCCAGTGTGCTGTAGCAGGAAGGAGAGGATCCCTGCATAACAGCAAAAGCACTTATCTCAAGATTATTGGAGTAAGGGAACCCACATCCAGAGGAAGCAAAATCACTGCACAATCACTAATCAGAATAACCTGGTAAAAAATTCCTTTGCAACTCCAAACAAGGCAACCTCTGAGAGTTGTGTGGGGCTTAATGCATTTTTGTGCTTGGTTATTAATCCTGTTTTTATTTATGCTTTCTCCACCCATTTGTTACCTGCCCCAAGTGTTTAGCATATGCTGGACTATAAATTTAAATAAATAATACATTGGTAGGCTTCTCCCCCACCCCTTTGGCCATTAGAGCATTTCAAGAAACATCCTTCTTTCTTGCTGGTTTTTCAACTTAATACTCCAATCACAGAAGTCTCGGTCTAAGCAGAAAAGCTCTGGAAGGAGACAATAGGAAAATGGAGAGCATGGCAGAGGCACTAATGGGAACATAGTGGCGTTTTCTTCACCTCTTTCACTGCTCCCGCCCGCCCCCCTTGCCCATTTTTAACCACATATGTACTCTCAATTTCCCAGGCTAACTACAAAGCAGTTCTGAAATGTACAAGACAAATAACAATGTCAGTCAAGAACAGCAACTGAAGCTAAGTGGCAACTTACTGTGCACAAAGGTAGAGCAATAAAGTAAGCACGTGACAGAGATCCTTTGAGGGCTGGTGGCGCTGTATTTTTCCGCCTTTAAGAGAAACAGCAGTATTCTGTCACTAACATCGGCAGGGCCGGGTGAAATACACAAGTTTGACTGCAGAGAAATTCTTGGCATTTTCATCCGGCCCTCTTTTTTTTTGCGGGGGGTGGGGGTGGGGAACCCTCAGCCCTGCAAAGGGGACAGTTCTTAACAAAAGCCGGCAGCAGCCACCTCTTCATGTCAAGCTGCCCTAAAACAGCATGTGTGGGGCTCTTGTAAGAGCTTGCAGCTGGAGGGATTGTAATAAGGTTGGCAATTTCTCTCCCTCCACCACCGATGGAATCACTACTATCACCTCCATCAGTTCCCCCTCCCCACCCCACACTATCCACCCAAAATCCCCCAGAAAGCTTCTCTTGACCTTGTCAGTTTTTTTCACAGCCCTCCTTTTCAAATATACAGCCAGACTAGTTAAATGTATTTATTACTGTACACTACAGTGTTACATTTGTGCCTGCTATTTCACAGACGTGACTCCTGCGCTTTTTCGCTGCAGTGTAACATGCAGATATTAGCAGGCGATTGTACGCATTTCCTTGCTATGAAAAGCTTCATTTCTGCAGATCAAGCTGTTGTTGGCAACCCTATTTGTACCCTACCACTCCTCCTGTAAGCGTCAGGTGGCATACCTGGGTCTGTCTCTTTATATTATTAGTATTATTTTATTTTCTTCACAACGGCCCTGCTAGGTAGTTATGCTGAAAGACCGTGGCTTGATTTGAACTGAGATCTTCCCGGCCCAGCTGTCTGTACACCACACCAGCTGCCATCAATTAAAAATATATATATATATCTCCCCTGCTTTAGATGCAGGGACTCTAATGTGCACAATGAAACTTTTTCATGCATGGAATCATATGCTAAAGGAAGAAAAAACTCCTGCCTGGCCTTTCCCAGGATATGTTTTTACCGAGTGAGAGGCAATATACCAACACACTATCATCCCTAACAACTAATGCAATACAGGAGTCTATGTGCCCTATGGAGTTTGCTCCTATGGCAACAAGCTCTTTGCTTCTCCAAGAACGATTCCTCCCACCTCCCAAACTCTCCCAGGAGCTGGACAAATTAAGGACTTACATGCAGCAGCTGAAGCAGCTGACATTCTAGGTGAAGGAGATGGAGGAAGTGACTACCGAAAGGGTGAAAGTGTAGGGCAGTATGGTGCACGGAGCGTTGCACTAGCACTGCGAGTGACCCACCTAGCCGCATAGTTCACTGGCCTTCAGCTAGTCACAACCTCTTAGCCTGACCTACCTCGCAGGGTTGTGGGGCAGATAATATGGGAGGGTGACCACATATGCCAGTCTCAGTTCCTTGGAGGAAGGCGGTTAAAGCAACAATAACTGAATGGAGTGAATAATATGGAAGCCACTGACAAAGAAAGGTGAATATCACGGTCACTTCACACAATAACAAACGGCAAACTCTGGTATCCTTTTAGTGTGCAATGGGGAGTTTTCTCCAATCTCAACTTCCAACAAGTGCATCTCTATGATACACTCTATGATTCTGGCATTTGTCACACTCACATTTTGGTTTTTAGGCGTATGTATTTAAAATGCCCTATGTGCATATCTAAAACAAATCTCAGGTCAGATCCGCACCAGGCATTGAAAGCATATTCAGTGCACATTTAAAGCACATCACTTTCCCCAAAGAATCCTGGGAACTGTATTTTCCTCCTTACAGAGCTTAACAAACCGTTGTGCAGCCTTTTAGCTGCAATACCATTGTGAAAGATTGCCCGCAGCTGTCATTTGCAGAGGACTGCATCAATTTAGTGCAATCTGTTCTAAAAACAACGACAACAAAAAGGGGGGAAGTGGTGGCTGATGTCCACATAGCAACTCAACACCAGTTAGTTGTAAAGGTGTGGTATTCAGGTTGAACCACGAAGGCAGATAGTGATGCAAGGTGTTCTGCGCTGTGTTGAATTCCTAAACATGTTTGCTCCTTCATATGATTCACTACGGTTATGTTTGAGGATTCTAACTTGAAGTCTTCATATTTGCAAAGTGTGTTTCCTTTGCCTGCTTTTATTTTCTAACTAGCAGAACTGAAAAGGTCTTTACAGTTCCAGTTGACCAAATTGCCTGTGGCCAAGAAAGAGAATTTGGAGGGGGGGATAGCACAAACATACCCTCCCGATTTTTATCAGCCTGACAGTATCCCCAATCTACACTTCTTCAGTACAACAGCAATGAGTAAATCATTCCTGGATGTACGACTGCAAGCCATGAATCTCCTTATCAACCCTGGATGCTTCCCCTCATCTCCAAAACCCAATACCCTCTTCTGTGATAAACGATGGGCCTCTCAGCTATAATTCTCCATGTTTAGGATAATATAAAATTATGTGCCATGCATATTAAAGGAACACAGACACTCTCTATTAATAGAAATTAATGCTGTTGTTACCAGATTGTACTTGGGCTGCCTCTGACAGATGAAGCAAAGCAAAAGGCTGGGAGGAGCTATTTGATTCACAATAAATAGATACCAAGATTTATGATTAAAATAGAACATCTTAATGATTTACCATAGCAATGAAACCAATAGGCTGGTGTTTCAATCCGATATCCACAAATTTGTATAATCCTCAGGGTAAAACAATTTAATGTGCTGTCTCTTTTATAGTTACAAAAGGCCTTTCATATGATCAATTATACATAAGAGTATAATAAATGTAACTTTCTTCATACTAATCACATCTAACTTAAATTCTCTTGTTGGTCTTTGGAGTGTATGTAGCATTCCCCATAAAGTTTTTAGTCTCTGCTCTTAGCAAAAGTTAATATGCCCAGAACTTTCAGATAAATCATCAGTACAAGGGTCTTTATACCCGCACAACTATTCACACAATTAGGGGCCACCTCCTCCTGTGAAAGACTCTTGCTTAATACAATAAACTTGCTCTTTTGTCTTAAATGGCACTAGGGCTATCTTTTGCTGAAAAGGCTGAGTTTCATACTATGCCCCATGCATGGAATCATAGTTTAATTCTCTGAGTTATCCATCACTAGCAGAAGCATCTCCTTAGAAGTGCATTCATGCTCCTGTAGCGGGAAAAGATCCTTCTTATTCTGGGACATGCTGGCGCCTGAGATGCAAAACCAAAGTTGTGCTTGTGCATGCACACACATGCATATATAAGGTAAAGGGACCCCTGACCGTTAGGTCCAGTCGCGGACGACTCCGTGGTTGCGGCGCTCATCTCGCTTTATTGGCCAAGGGAGCCGGCATACAGCTTCCGGGTCATGTGGCCAGCATGACTAAGCCGCTTCTGGCAAACCAGAGCAGCACACGGAAACGCCGTTTACCTTCCCACCGGAGCGGTACCTATTTATCTACTTGCACTTTGTGCTTTTGAACTGCTAGGTTGGCAGGAGCAGGGACCGAGCAACGGGAGCTCACCCCTTGTTGCAGGGATTCGAACCACCAACCATCTGATCAGCAAACCCTAGGCTCTGTGGTTTAACCCACAGCACCACCCGCGTCCCGAGCACATGCATATCTACTTCACGGCAAAAAGATATAGCAAGAATTTGGCACCTCAAAAGTGTCCCCTGAGCCAACCACAGCACTGTGCTTCACCTTAGGGTAACCCTGAACCTGCTATGCCCTACACTTGTGTTTTGTACGTCTTCCAGAAACACAACCATTTCACACTTTTTTTAAAAAAAATTAAGAATAATTTTTTATTAACCGACCAATCACATCAAATCAAACCAAATTACATCAAATTACACAGCCGAATTTTAAATTTTTGTTGGGGGTACCCATATTTCCAGTTCCGAAGTGATCCAATCAACTTCTTGCTTCTTACTGCTGTTTTAATGTCCACAAATCTAACCTTATGATGTTCACAGTACTATCCAGTCCTTTCTTATTATTTTTCCACATCTCTTGTTGTTATTTTCATATATTTTTCCTTTCTCTTTGTGACCTCTGATAGTCTCTGCAAGCTGGTTAGAACAGTTTGGAATCCTGCGTGGATATTATTTTTTTTATCCAGTAGCCATATCCAGACGTTTTCCATATAACATCACTTCCATACATCAAAACAGTCTTAGCGCCATTAATCTTCACGAATCTGCCTCCTTTCTCAAAACTTCTGAGGAGATTCACTAGGAATGCAGTCTGAAAACAAATCCGTTCTTCCTCCCGGCTACAAATCCTTTGGCAAGATGGCGACTCCGAATTAATTGCTGCGCCATTCCCAAAAGCTCTTATTGCTTCTCGGTCTCCATAAAGCATACTTTTGGTTAAAGTTTATCTCCACACAGACCTTAATCATCCTGCTTGGGTCAGTTCAACCGACGGTTCTAATGAGGAGGGGTTCTTGTAAATCACATAGAAGGAAAGTAAAAAGGTTTCCCCCATTCAGCCCCGTTGTCAACATACCCCGCCTTTGGTGTATCTTCATCGTAAAATATTCCTGTTTCTCCAGCCCGTCGTCTTCTTTCGCAGAGGTCACTTAAATTAGCAGACTTCACTCCCCTTCTTCACTTGAAATATGTGCATTTGCTTCTTTGGTAATTAATTATTCCAAATTGCTGCAACTAGTGTGTGATCAGAGACAGCGTCCAGGAGAGCCGATGGCCACACGGGGGCATTCTGCCTAGGGCCCTCACCCCCTTCTTTCAAATTAGGGGGTGATTTATGGGCACAGCAGGCAAGGGCAGTGTTCCCCATTTCCTTGGGGCAACAAGGGAGGCTGCCTACTCCCATAACAGCCTCTTAATTACCCCGTGTGGGTCGGAGAGATGGTATTGTCGGCTATCTTCCAATGCGCCCCCTAGTGGGCCCCCCAACCATTTCACACTTGGGTGCATAGGCATGCCTGAGACTGAGTTTGTGTACGCAACTAGGGGCTACAGCAATCACAGCTCCCTGACACATGCTTCTGTATGACACATTCATGGCCACGTTCACATTTTACATGTTTGGGTACAGACACAAAACAACTTAGATGCATACCTAATGTGCAAAGTGTCATCCACTCCCTTCCTTCCTCTGGCCACTGATAAGGCTGGCCTTAGATTAAATGGTGCCCTGAGTAAGGAATATCTTTGGTGCCCCTTCCATTCAAATTTCCATTTCTTTCAATTATCTTGGGCTTTTATTTTTTTTATTTTTTTACTGTATATATTGAGTTTTATACTTTGCAGGTAGTACATAAAAGCAATATAACAAAACAACAACCAAACAACAAGAATGTGAAGTAATAATAATAATTTATTATTTGTACCCCGCCCATCTGGCTGGGTTTCCCCAGCCACTCTGGGCGGCTTCCATAAAAACCAAAAATACAATAAAATATCACAGATTAAAAACTTCCCTGAACAGGGCTGCCTTAAGATGTCTTCTAAATGTCAGGTAGTTATTTATCGCTTTGACATCTGATGGGAGGGCGTTCCACAGGGCGGGCGCCACTACCGAGAAGGCCCTCTGCCTGGTTCCCTGTAGCTTTGCTTCTCGCAATGAGGGAACCGCCAGAAGGCCCTCGGCGCTAGACCTCAGCGTCCGGGCAGAACGATGGGGGTGGAGACGCTCCTTCAGGTATACTGGGCCGAGGCCGTTTAGGGCTTTAAAGGTCAACACCAGCACTTTGAATTGTGCTCGGAAACGTACTGGGAGCCAATGTAGGTCTTTCAAGACCGGTGTTATGTGGTCTCGGCGGCCGCCCCCAGTCACCAGTCTAGCTGCCGCAGTCTGGATTAGTTGTAGTTTCCGAGTCACCTTCAAGGGTAGCCCCACGTAGAGCGCATTGCAGTAATCCAAGCGGGAGATAACTAGAGCATGCACCACTCTGGCGAGACAGTCCGCGGGCAGGTAGGGTCTCAGCCTGCGTACCAGGTGGAGTTGGTAGACAGCTGCCCTGGATACAGAATTGACCTGCGCCTCCATGGACAGCTGTGAGTCCAAAATGACTCCCAGGCTGCGCACCTGGTCCTTCAGGGGCACAGTTACCCTATTCAGGACCAGGGAGTCCTCCACACCAGCCCGCCCCCTGTCCCCCTAAAACAATACTTCTATCTTGTCAGGATTCAACTTCAATCCATTAGCCGCCATCCATCCTCCAACCGCCTCCAGACACTCACACAGGACCGTCACCGCCTTCACTGGTTCTGATTTGAAAGAGAGGTAGAGCTGGGTATCATCTGCATATTGATGGACACCCAGTCCAAATCCCCTGATGATCTCTCCCAGCGGCTTCATATAGATGTTAAAAAGCATGGGGGAGAGGACGGAACCCTGAGGCACCCCACAAGTGAGGGCCCAGGGGTCTGAACACTCATCCCCCCCACCACTTTCTGAACACGGCCCAGGAGGAAGGAGCGAAACCACTGTATAACAGTGCCCCCAGCTCCCAGCCCCTCTAGACGGTCCAGAAGGATGTTATGGTCGATTGTATCAAAGGCCGCTGAGAGATCCAGCAGAACCAGGAAACAACTCTCACCTTTGTCCCTAGCTCGCCGGAGATCATCAACCAGCGCGACCAAGGCAGTTTCAGTCCCATGGTGAGGCCTGAATCCCGATTGGAAGGGATCCAAATGGTCCGCATCCTCCAGGCGTGCCTGGAGTTGTTCAGCAACCACACGCTCAATCACCTTGCCCAAGAATGGAAGATTTGAGACTGGGCGATAGTTGGCCATACTGGCCGGGTCTAAAGATGGTTTTTAAGAAGCGGTTTAATAACCGCCTCTTTCAGCGGATCTGGGAATGTTCCCTCACAGAGGGAAGCATTCACCACCCCGCAGAGCCCATCGCCCAGCCCTTCCCGGCTTGCTTTTATTAGCCAGGATGGGCAAGGATCAAGGAGACAGGTGGTTGGTTTCACGCGTCCAAGCAGCCTGTCCACATCCTCGGGGGTAACAGATTGAAATTGATTCCATGCAACTTGACCAGACAGAGCTCTAGCACTCTCCCGCCCCGGCCCTGCTCCCACGGTGGTGTCTAGCTCCTTCCGAATATGAGTGATTTTATCTGCAAAAAGCTTGGCAAAATCGTTGCAGGAGATCTTGGGGTCTTTACAAGGCTCCGGTGGTAAAGGTGGTTCCGTTAAATTGCGAACCACCTGAAAGAGTCTCCTGCTACTATTTTCTGCAGATGCAATAGAGGCGGCGAAGAAAGTCTTCTTCGCCGTCGCTATCGCCACTTGGTAGGCTCGACGTTGAGCTCTAACCTGTGTCCGGTCAGATTCGGAGTGAGTTTTCTGCCACCGACGCTCTAGCCGTCTCAGCGATTGTTTCATCGCCCTCAGCTCCGAAGAAAACCACGGGGCTGTCCGGGCTCCATGCAATCGGAGAGGCCGCATCGGAGCCACACAGTCGATAGCCCTGGTTAACTCCGCATTCCAGCGGGCCACCAGGGACTCAGCTGAAAGGCCATCAACATGGGCTAAAGCATCCCCTACCACTCTCTGGAAACCATTTGGATCCATTAAGTGGCGGGGCGGACCATCCGAGTTGGTCCCACCTCCCTGCAGAGGGGAAGGGTCGCGGAGAAGTCCAGTTGCACCAGGAAGTGATCTGACCATGGCACTTCTTTTGTTTCACTTTTACTTAGTGTCAGATCACCCACGTCACTAGAGGTGAACACCAGGTCTAAGGCATGTCCATGACTATGAGTTGGGCCAAACTTATTCAGGGACAGCCCCATGGAGGCCATGCTTTCCACGAAGTCCCGAGCGGCCCCTTGTAAGGTCGTGTCGGCATGGATGTTAAAATCCCCTAGGACAACCAAACTAGGTGTCTCCAGGAGAAAATCCGCCACGACCTGAAGCAGCTCGGACAGGGAATCCTTGGTGCAGCGGGGAGGTCGGTACACCAAAAGGAATCCTGTACTGCCCCTATTGCCCAACTTCCAGAACATGCACTCAGAGAACTGGATCTTCCCAGTAGGACGCCTGGTGCAAGCTAGTGACTTCCTAAAAATCACTGCAACCCCCTCCCCGCCCACATGACCTGGGTTGCTGTGCGTAAGAGAAACCTGGTGGGCAAGCAGCGGCAAGGACAGGCCCATCTGCTTCCTCCAACCAGGTCTCTGTCACACATGCCAGGTCAAATCCTCCATCCACAATCAAGTCGTGGATGGCAGTGGTTTTATTCATCATTGACCTGGCATTGCACAGCAACACTTTCAGGTCATGTGGGTTTCCCCTGTTGATTCCAGTATCCATCCGGTCAAGGCCAGACCCGGAGGCAGGGATAGTCTTCAAACAACGACTAAACCTGCCTCCTCGGTAATGACATGGTCTGGTCTTAGCGTAACTCCGCCTCCTGCCCATGATCACCGAGATCGGATGTCCCAGTGCTTCCCCCCCTGTGGAACTTGTCCCAGCCATCGTGTTGGCTGGGGAGCCACTCCCAGGCAGCCCTGATCCCGCCCCTTAAAAACAAAACACAAACTATACAGAACCAATAAAACAACAACAACAAAAAGGAACAGAACAATTATACTAAAATTAATCCCCAACCAACTATCCATCTCACCCACCCACCCCCAACAAAGGAAAAAAGGGGAAAAAAGGAATAAAAATTTAAATTGCCACCAACTGCTTGAGGACATTTTAAAGCACATTAACCACCTGGAACAGGGAAGCAATGGCAGAACACTTCCCACACTTCCTCAAAAGTTTGTTCCAAATAAGGGCCTGGGCCACGCCCCCTGGGCCAGTTGGAAAAGGCCCTGGAAGGGAGCAGGCCCTGCAGTCCTCACCCAGCCGATGGTCCGAGGCTTCCCCGCAGCAGGAGTCCCTTTATAGCTGGGAGAGAGGGCCTGGGCCACGCCCCCTGGGCCAGTTGGAAAAGGCCCTGGAAGGGAGCAGGCCCTGCAGTCCTCACCCAGCCGATGGGTGAGGAAACATGTGGGAAAGAGTAAGTACCGGTATTATGACTTGAGAAATAAGTGAGAGGTTATCGTAAAAATGTAGAGTATGTCTTCACAGATCTTGGGTTGTTTTTATTTATTTATTGTCGTTATAGCTCATCTTTTCTCCAGAGAGGTCAATGTGACATACATGGCTCTCACCCTCCTCATTTAATCCCCACAACAACCCTGTGAGGTAGGGATGAGGGGCAGTGACTGGCCCAAGGTCACCTAGTGAGCTTCATGGTCAAGTGGGGATTTGAACCCACACGTCCTAGTCTGATAAATTGTGTGTGCATGGATCTGATCATAGCCACATACACTATTTGTTGAAGTGACATGGATATTGTATATTTCCACACCAAATTAAAATAGCAACCATATTAATTAGCACATTGCTGGTCATGCTGATTTGTGTTGGCAGCTTTACTAGTGAAGATGAACAGTTTTATCTTTTAGCTGCTGAGTGGATAGCCCAGTTGAGTAGATAGCCCATTACAGTTTATCACCTAGCCCCAGACTGCTTGCCTCTAGATCTTAGCTTGGGACACTCCCACTAACTCTCACTGTTCCCGAGGTTTCCATTCCACCAAGACCAATAACAAATTTCGCCAACAGCTCCATAAGAGCCCCTGCAGCAGCCAGATGTGGTGGAAGACAAAGACTACCATCTCTCTGCTTCCAAAATTATGAGGCTAAAACCAAATCTAATCTAGGATTCTACCAGCCCCAATAAAGGCCTCACATCATTCACCCAAATACTCAGTCACATTCATATTCTCACCTTAGTTCATCAGGTACCAATTCCCAACTCCCACCTGAAAAGCGGTCAGACTCCAACCCCTTCCCCACTGTCCCTCACCTAGGACAGCACTGCACACCCCCAAGGTCAGACAAAACACAACCAAAAAGGGGTGGGGACCCCCACTCATGATGCCCTCAAGCAATGCACGGCAATTCTTTACAGTTCAAGAAATAGACGTGAAAACTCCAGTTCCCTCTCCAGTAGTTTTTTATGCCATATGCTGTTGATTGGAGGGCAGGCAATATATCTCAGTAAGAGATAGACAGGTATGGCCAATTCATACTTCTTGGAAGTAGGAAGCCAGAGGTTCTCAGCCACCACATCTCGCTTCTGATTATCTAGCTGCCGCCCATCCTCTGCTGTGTCTTGTGATGCAACTACTGTTCCTGACTCCCCTTGGCTGTTCAGAGGGAAGGGTAACCAGATTCTCACTATCACCTCACTGTGGGCAATGAACATCCAAGCTAGGAATACAGGCTTCATGTTGGTTATTAAGCCAGGAGGAACATACCTTGGCGTATTATCTTGGTGCCTTGACATTAAGCCAGAGTCCCCCACTTCAGACATAACAGGCAACTGTGGCTTAATACAAGCCAGAAATGAAGTTCTGAAGCAGCACATAAGGGTAAGAAAGGAGGGCATAGGGAGGAATGCTCAGCTCCAATGCATCTTCCCAGCTTCATAAACTGTGGTTTGTAAAGCCCTGCACAATTGCCCAAAATGTGCCAGTAAGTCGCAAATTAACTTCCTAGGAATAGAACACTACCCACATAAATGGCCATTGATTGGCAATCCCAGCTTACCTTTGCAAGTGCAAATATCTGAGCTTTCGTGATATGTCCCTTCATCATCCTTGGCATACTGTTCTGAATAGACACATCCCTCCAGCTTTTGAACATGTTGCCTTAAAGTCTGGCACCTTTTTGAAACTAGGCTGTCAGGAAAGGAAAAATGAACAAGAACATTGTAATCTGTTTCGACCATTGTGAAGAGAGAGACATCTGGTAGGCCACTTGGAAGTCAGCCAGCGATGAAGGCTTCAATTAAAATAATGAACGCTTTCTCAGGAGTAGCACCCAACTCATTAAAGAAGCCCCCCATGTGACTTCTCATGTCATCAAAAGAACATCACTAGAGGGGGGAAAACAGGCTAGTGAAGGAGAAAGAAGGGGGACAAGTACAAGAGGATAAAATGGATTTTTAAAACCTATAAATGAATAATATGTTTCTCAGATGTTCTGTAAAGACTTGGATTGGAGCAGACTCACACAACCACCTTTTTTTACAGAATTAAAGCAGCACTTGTGGCGTGATATTTCTGGTATGCTGCACAGCTCTTGTGAATGTTCCAGCACACTGGCATCATGGTTTACCACAGCCCCATAATTCCTAGAAAAGCAGGTCACACCAGGAAGACACATTCAGCCTTTCTACTTAATAATCACTCAGTGCAATAAAATGTGCAATGCAGTGGTGTTAATTTTACTTCCTGGTTGGATGGAGAGGATATCTTTATGTGGATAAGGTATCTTAAACATCATTATTATTTAACTAGTCATTGTCCAAAGCCCAGCTTCCAATCCTCAAACAGGAAGATGGAGTTATGGTGTTCTCAGGTGTTCTCAGAGGCAAACCCGCTGAGTTCAATGGGGCTTACTCCCTGGTAAGCGGGTCTAGGATTTCGGCCAAAGCAGCCAGTGGAATATTTTGAAAGCATGCAGGAATGTCAACTGGGGTCTAGGTGTCTGCTACACCTCATCACAGTCTAAGCCTGAAGTTGGATCTGAATGTGTTTTCATGCTGGATCAGATAAGTCTAGCAACATTCAGGTGTGGGCATTCCTATTAATTTCTCATAATATTGTTCAAGTAAAGTTAGACATCGAGCATTATTCTCTCCAGGCCATTGATAATGACAAAAATAAGCAAAGCCTATGTCACTCTACAAGTGCTTAATAAAAATGCGGTGCTGAACCACACTACCCTAATTTGGAGCTGTGGTCATCCAGTAATGCAGTAAGGAAGGCTTAAATTAGAGGCTCGGCATAGCAGAATGCAGTTGCTAATGAGCCAGCACAGAAGTTCCTTCTCAAGCTCATTTAGAGTTTGTAATGGCAATTGGTTCATGACATTGTGAGGTCATTATAGTGGCCAAATTATTTTAGTGCAGCTCTTCAGAGACCTTGTTATGAAGCCAATATGAGGTGATATTACAATGGTAAAATTATTTCCACGCACACTTTGGAGAAAGCAGCACTACAATGCTCTTAGGGTGAAACTGCACTGCAAGATTACAATCTGAAGTGAGAGCACAATGCAAGTCTGTGGAGATTAGACTCAATTATGATGTCAAAACAAAATGAAAAAATGTCAATGCAAGTTATACCATTAAGGTCGAGACTTAAACCTAGGAAAGCTCTGCATTAAAATCCCACGTTACCTTTAAATCACATTCTTGTGCTTAGGTGTTGCAGCATGCATGCTGAATGCTTTGCTCAGCTGTCTTCCGCCAGTAGGGCACGAGATGTTCCACAGGTGATCACTGTTGCTGAATTGTGCAGGTGTTGACTGACTTAACTAAAAAAGACCCAAGGAAATCTAGCATTAATAGTTGCAGCTTAGCAATGGCACAATAACACATGGCTCAATGGTTCTTCCCTCTTCCCTCTCCCAGGAATGACCCTGGCACCAGATAGGCAGATAAGGATTAGAACCGAATGGTGCAGTAAGTCCCCACCCCACCCCAAGTGTTGGCCTAAGCTTAGGGAACTCTGTGTTGGGCCAGCACTGAGGACCCCTAACTTCTTTCAACCTTCCTCTTTCATTGAATTTTCTGAGAGTATTAAAAAGGCATGGGTTGAGTCCTGAATCACATACCTGACTCAAAGTCATAAATCAAGTAACTGGCACCACAAACACACGTGGGGCCTCCTGACAAGGTTATGTTTACCAACTGGTGGCCAAATGATAACAAAATTCCATGCCGCCATTTGCCATTATGAAGAGCTTCACATATGGCCTGCACGTAGGCTTAACATTTCTTTAGAGGGAGAATCAGATTCATACATAGACAAGAACTTGATGGCTGTTTTGCTGCCTTCATTAACATTGATGGGGTAGTCCTTCCAGGTAAGAGCTCAGTATGGACAGAAACCATAAAACTATAGATTGTGGCAACTGCAGTCAGATTTCAGGGACTGCAGTGAATATTTCTTTTCTTTTTTTGTGCGTGCATTTCTTGTATACATTTTGTATACTTTCCCCCATCTCATTTCTGTAGCAACTGAATTGGTTTGCTTCGAGTTTTAGATTCAAATTATTACAAACCACATTCCCTGGTACCAAGCTCTTGTCAGAAAAATGCAGGTTCTGAATGAGAAAAATGAATTAATTTGGCAACCTCCCAAATCACAGCTCATATATTTCAGCCATAAGGTTTGTAACACTCGGTTTTGTTGTGCCTGCTCTTGTAGGGAAGCTTTGTTGGTGGGGTGGGGTGTTACTGCCAAAGATTTGCTCTGCTGCTAAATCTGTTGTCATGTATATGCAAATAGTTAATTGTGTTTTATACCTGCATTATCGGTTGCACTGATTATATCAGGCTCAACCTGTGTATACTGATACCATTAATTAGCATAAAGAGTTATTCCTCAAAACCCCATGGCTGTACCTCTGACTCATTTGTCATGAGGGTAGTAGAAGTCAAGCACAGTGCAGTAATATACCAAATTTAGCCTCTGAGATGCAATCATCTTTATTAATTGTCTAATGTAGCAGAGCCTGATGGAGATAATACCATCCTGCAGGGTGCTGATAACCTCTTACTTGTCTCTTAAGTCATTTGAAGCCTGATACAAAATTGTATCAAAGGAGCTTCTACCCGCCGGGCAATTCCTTTTATGGTGGGGTGATCCACGAAAGGGCCCACTACACTCGTGCTTTTTCACGTGGGTGGATTCTTCAAAATAATAATAATAATAATAATAATAATAATAATTTATTATTTATACCCCGCCCATCTGGCTGGGTTTCCCCAGCCACTCTGGGCAGCTTCCAAAAGAATATTAAAATACTGTGATACATCAAACATTAAAAGCTTCCCTAAACAGGGCTGCCTTAAGATGTCTTCTAAAAGTCTGGTAGTTGTTGTTCTCTTTGACATCTGGTGGGAGGGCGTTCCACAGGAAGGGCGCTACTACCGAGAAGGCCCTCTGCCTGGTTCCCTGTAACTTGGCTTCTCGCAGTGAGGGAACCGCCAGAAGGCCCTCGGTGCTGGACCTCAGTGTCCAGGGAGAACGATGGGGGTGGAGACGCTCCTTCAGGTATACTGGACCGAGGCCGTTTAGGGCTTTAAAGGTTAGCACCAACACTTTGTATTGTGCTCGGAAACGTACTGGGAGCCAATGTAGGTCTTTCAAGACCGGTGTTATATGGTCTCGGCGGCCGCTCCCAGTCACCAGTCTGGCTGCTGCGTTCTGGATTAGTTGTAGTTTCCGGGTCACCTTCAAAGGTAGCCCCACGTAGAGCGCATTGCAGTAGTCCAAGCGGGAGATAACCAGAGCATGCACCACTCTGGCGAGGCAGTCCGCAGGCAGGTAGGGTCTCAGCCTGCGTACCAGATGGAGCTGGTACACAGCTGCCCTGGACACGGATTTAACCTGTGCCTCCATGGACAGCTGTGAGTCCAAAATGACTCCCAGGCTGCGCACCTGATCCTTCAGGGGCACAGTTACCCCATTCAGGACCAGGGAGTCCTCCACACCTGCCCGCCTCCTGTCCCCCAGAAACAGTACTTCTGTCTTGTCAGGATTCAATCTCAATCTGTTAGCCGCCATCCATCCTCCAACCGCCTCCAGACACTCACACAGGACCGTCACCGCATTCACTGGTTCTGATTTGAAAGAGAGGTAGAGCTGGGTATCATCCGCATACTGATGAACACCCAGCCCAAACCCCCTGATGATCTCTCCCAGTGGCTGCATGTAGATGTTGAAAAGCATGGGGGAGAGGACAGAACCCTGAGGCACCCCACAAGTGAGAGCCCAGGGGTCTGAACACTCATCCCCCACCACCACTTTCTGAACACGGCCCAGGAGGAAGGAGCGGAACGACTGTATGACAGTGCCCCCAGCTCCCAGCCCCTCAAGACGGTCCAGAAGGATGTTATGGTTGATGGTATCAAACGCCGCTGAGAGATCCAGCAGAACTAGGAAACAGCTCTCACCTTTGTCCCTAGCCCGCCGGAGATCATCAACCAGTGCGACCAAGGCAGTTTCAGTCCCGTGATGAGGCCTGAATCCCGACTGGAAGGGATCCAAATGGTCCGCTTCTTCCAGGCGTGCCTGGAGTTGTTCAGCAACCACTCACTCAATCACCTTGCCCAAGAATGGAAGATTTGAGACTGGGCGATAGTTGGCCATCGTGGCTGCATCTAAAGATGGTTTTTTAAGAAGCGGTTTAATAACCGCCTCTTTCAGCGGGTCTGGGAAGGCTCCCTCACGGAGGGAAGCATTCACCACCCCACGAAGCCCATCACCCAGCCCTTCCCGGCTAGCTTTTATAAGCCAGGATGGGCAAGGATCAAGGAGACAGGTGGTTGGTTTCACTCATCCAAGCAGCCTGTCCACATCCTCGGAGGTAACGGATTGAAATTGATCCCACGCAATTTGACTAGACAGGACTCTAGCACTCTCCCGCCCTGGCCCTGCTCCCACGGTGGCGTCTACCTCTTCCCGAATCTGAGCGACTTTATCTGCAAAAAACTTTGCAAAATCATTGCAGGAGATCATGCGGCCCGTACTGGGCCCCGATGTAGCAGGTGGTTCCGCTAAATTGCGGACCACCTGAAAAAGTCTCCTGCTGCTGTTTTCTGCAGATGCAATAGAGGTGGTGAAGAAAGTCTTCTTCACCGTCGCTACCGCCACTTGGTAGGCTCGACATTGAGCTCTAACCTGTGTCCGGTCAGCTTCAGAATGGGTCATCCGCCACCAGCGCTCTAGCCGTCTCAACGATTGTTTCATTGCCCTCAGATCCGTGGAAAACCACGGGGCTGTCCGGGCTCCATGCAATCGGAGAGGGCGCTTCGGAGCCAAACAGTCAATAGCCCTGGTTAACTCCACATTCCAGCGGGCCACCAGGGAATCAGCTGAAAGGCCATCAACATGGGATAAAGCATCCCCTACCACTCTCTGGAAACCATTTGGATCCATTAAGTGGCGGGGCGGACCATCCGAATCGGTCCCACCTCCCTGCAGAGGGGAAGGGTCGCGGAGAAGTCAAGTTGCACCAGGAAGTGGTCTGACCATGGCACTTCTTTCGTTTCGCTTTTACTTAGTGTCAGATCACCAGCATCCATAGAGGTAAACACCAGGTCCAAGGCATGTCCACGGCTATGGGTTGGGCCAAACTTATTCAGGGACAGCCCCATGGAGGCCATGCTTTCCACGAAGTCCCGAGCGGCCCCTTGTAAGGTCGTGTCGGCATGGATGTTAAAATCCCCTAGGACAACCAAACTAGGTGTCTCCAGGAGAACATCCGCCACGACCTGAAGCAGCTCGGACAGGGAATCCTTGGTGCAGCGGGGAGGTCGGTACACCAAAAGGAATCCTGTACTGCCCCTATTGCCCAACTTCCAGAACATGCACTCAGAGAACTGGGTCTTCCCAATAGGACGCTTGGTGCAAACTAGTGACTTCCTAAAAATCACTGCAACCCCCCCTCCCCACCCACAAGGCCTGGGTTGCTGTGCGTAAGAGAAACCTGGTGGACAAGCAGCGGCAAGAACAGGCCCATCTGCTTCATCCAACCAAGCCTCTGTTACACATGCCAGGTCGAATCCTCCATCCATGATCAAGTCATGGATGGCAGTGGTCTTATGAATCATTGACCTGGCATTGCACAGCAGCACCTTCAGGTCATGTGGGTATCCCTTGCTGATTCTAGTATCCGTCCGGTCAGGACCAGACCCGGAGGCAGGGATAGTCTTCAGACAACGACTAAACCTGCCTCCTCTGTAATGACATGGTCTGGTCTTAGCGTAACTCCTCCTCCTACCCGTGATCACTGAGATCGGTTGTCCCAGCGCATCCCCCTCTGTGGAACATGCCCCAGCCATTTTGTTGGCTGGGACCCACTCCCCGGCAGCCCTGACCCCTCCCCTTAAGAACAAAATAAGACCTTAAAACAAGGTCTTATTTGCCACTGATGCAATAATCATGCACTAGTAGTGGGTTTATACCATCCACACATCATTCTTTGTCATTGTTCTGCTATGTTTCTATAACATTGCCGCATTACTGGCCATCGGGGGGGGGGGCACTCTTGCACTATAGTGCACCAAAAGTGATACCCAAAAACTTCCGGGGTGGCGCCATCGGCAATGGCGGATTCCCTCTGAACTGGAGGGACCAGCTCCACCTTTGCACATACAAGCACTGTAGTGTTGAAAGCAGCATTGCTTATAACGTCCCAATACCACCATAAGCACAAATAATCATGAATGCAAAATTACAAGGACATATGGAGGGGCCCAGAGAGCAGACTACATGCCAGAACCGTTTCCAGAATCCACTACCTGCGCATTGTATTGTGACTCAAATGAGCCAGACTTCTGGCTTCCTAACTATGAACCCCACTGGATTTTGTATGAATCCTGCTTGTTAAAGAACAGGACCCAAACTGCATGGGATGTTCTGTTGGTTTTTCCCTCCACACAGACAAGGATTTAAAAACAGATAAACAAAAGTGAAAAAATTGGCAGAAGACCAGCAGTGCAGGCAGACAGGAAGGGGCTGTTTTAACACTTTCACTTCTGGTTGTTTTCCTATTGAAATCAGCTCCTGCAGCTGCTTTTTGCTCCATGTCAGAAGAGATACAGGTACTTCTACTTTGTTTATTTGTTTAAATGTTTTCTATTCCTCCTGTCCTTATCAAAGTGCACCAAAGGCAACTTATAATAAGAAGCAAACTCGTATGCTTTGGAAATGCAGAATAAATACAAATTGCAGTCAATAAAAAAATGGGAGTTGAGACATCAAACTGACCTAATAAAGAAGACACTCACTGAAATAATATCATTGCTTGCCTAAAGGTGAGCAGCATGGAGGTCTGGCTCACCTCTCTATACAAGCTATTTCAAAAATCTGGGCGCCACAACTAAGGCGGTTCTCTCTGGAACAGATAAGAAGAGGGCCTCCGTAGTGGAAGAGAGCCCCATGGCAGGCAATTCCAAAGGTATTCCAGCAATTCCAAACACAGCTGGTGGGAGGTGATGTTGAGTGGGCAAATGGCCAGAGATGAAAGAGTTAAGAAACTGCCTCTCTCCACCACTCAATATACCTTTTATTTCATAAAAAAGCCAAAACACCGGCCTCTTAAATAGCTGCTTTGGGGGTTTTTTTTAAAAAAAAAAGATTGGGGTGGTGGTAGAAACATCTGCAACCAAGCATCGCATGTAGTTTGGGCCTAAACATCCACAGTAATTGAAAATGCTTACAAGAAGTAGGGAAACAGCATTTAGAAGCAAGCGGGCCTGTGAGCATAGCTCCCACTGTGCCACTTAGAAAACGGACCCTTCTTCATCTCTTTATCATTTTACTTAAGGTATTGTTAATGTGTGGAATAAACATATCTCCCCAATAAAGAACTGCTTCTAAAACAGGAGACCCGCTTAATGCTTCCATTATTGATCTGTGCAGAGGTGTCTCGTGCCAAACGGCTCGTTCTCTTCTCTGCAGCTCCAAGGAAGCAAGCCGCATTTGCTTTTGGCAAGTTATGAACTCGCGCATTTTATGCAGCACTAATATGAAGCGAATGCCCTTATAAATAATCTACGCAAGCAATCTTTGACATTAATATACTTTTAGTGATACTGAACCAGGGCGGATAAAGTTCAAGAAGAAGACCTACGACATTAAGGCCTCTGAGGTTTGAAAGCTACACAACTGCACTTAAAACAAAACAAAAAAAATCTTTACTGTATTTGGTTTTTGCCACCTGCTATTATATTTTCTGTTCACCTCCCATCCACATTCCACTTATAAAAACAGTTTAGTTTTTATGGGAAGGTATGTCAACAAAAGCAATAGCTTGGATCCTGAGAACCAGCAGCAGAAGGTAATTCATAGAAGGGAATTTATTCATCTCTTCTTTCCCCCTTGAAGCCCCCTAAATGCTTCTCGGGGGGGGGGGGTCAAGGAGCCCTCCTGAAGATCATAGGTGTGTAGGATGGAGTGCAGGGAGCTTCTGGGGTATGGCTCCCAAATCAAGGAGATTTACCTGCTACAAGTAGGTTTTGGAAGATTCCTCCCCCTCCCCTCCAGCTTCCTGCACCTGATTCTTCATTGTTCAGGAGAAGATTTGCGACCTTCTAGAGCAGAAGCCTTCAACTTTTTCAGAGCCAGCACCCGCCTTTAACCCAAACATGCACTTAGGGACCCATTTCTTAATTTTTTACCACATGTTTGCGTGGTGGTTGTTCCGCTCCTGCTGCTCAATAGCATGTCCTGATTAGGGATGTAAGAAGGAATCATTTTCCATTCCTCCCTGTTGCATGAAGTAATGTTTCCATTCCTGTGCAATTTGCCTACTGCCAAAAACTATACTATTCATATTGCTGTCCACTGTGGCAAAATTACACAATTTAGGTAATTAATTCCATAAATGAAGATGGGATTGTCTAATCCCCTTTTAAAGCCAACCAAGATAGTGGCTTCTTGTGGGAGCAAATTAGTTTTCCTATGTGTTGTGTGACGAAGTATTTTCTTTTGACTGTCCTGAATCTTTTAATAGTTATCTTCATTGGATGCCCATGAGTTCTAGTGTTATGACAGTGTTTCTTTCCAGGATCTCCATGATAAACCTCTATCATGTTCCTCTTATTCGATTTAAACTAAGACACCCACCCACCCTGTCTTCTTGTAGTGATCTGCAAACTCACCCTAGGCTCCTTTCTTCCCTGTCTGAGGTTGAGCTGCATATAAACGCTCCATCTGACTGAGGTTTTGGACCCTGCTTCCCTTCTCTGTGTTGCATACCTGACCACCCAGGCCCCCTCTGCCATCTGGATGAAAGATACTGAGACTCCAGCTCTGAGTGGTTCAGTGTTTCAGTTCATTAGTTTTTGTTATTGAAATGGGAGTCTCATGGGAAGGTGATCTCATCATGTACTGAGTTTCACTTTTTGTAAAAGAGAGAGACAGAGAGAGAAGCATACCTCCAGGTTACTTATTTTTTTAAATAGAAAAATAGACTTAGACTCTGTGAGGCAGGAGATGGTACAAAACATGCATGCAAGGGTGGCCATTTGTACTTTTCAGAGTATAATCCTCTACTTGGAGGTGTCTTCTATTGGAAGGACTGTCCAGTCAAAGTCCAGTGTAAAGATGAAGGAAGATCAGAGGCCTTGAAGTTGTACATCAACAACTAGCAACTGGACAGCAGACTAAACAGGCATATTGGTCACCTGATCAGAGTCTTCCTAAGTTTTGTGAGATGAATTGCTTTTCTGTTAAATTTTAGCAACTATTTCTCAGTCTGCATTTATACATATAAATTAGCATATGCATACCCTCCAACATTTCTCTGATGAAAATAGGGACAACCCATTGCATAATGATGATTTTACTATTTATACCCCACACATCTTACTGGGTTGCCCCGGCCACTCTGGGCAGCTTCCAACATATAAAAAATACATATTAAGACACTGAACATTAAAAAAACCCTTCCCTATACAAGATTGCCTTCAGATGACTCCATGCCCTTCAACATTTCTCCAATGAAAATAGGGACATCCTAATGAAAAGTGGGACATTCCAGGATCAAATCAGAAACCGGGATGGCTTCTCTAAATCAGGGACGTCCCTGAAAAATAGGGACATTTGGAGGGTTTGCATATTCAGTTTTTTAAAATGCAAATCAATGCAAAGGGTTAAATCCCCACTTCAGATGGGGGCAAAGGGTTCAATACCCTCTCCTGTCTCTGCTGCCCAGCTTGTCAGATCTTGACCCCCTCCCATGGCCACTGTTTTGTCAAAGTAAAAAGCAATCCCAGCTTGCTAATTAAGTGCTTAACATAATGTGTAGTTTGTCCCCTGGACAACATGCCTAGTAGTGGTTTCTGGTGGGAGACACTGCCTTTGCAGATTGCTTATTACTGCCTGGCTTTCTTGTGGGCCTACTTGAATGAAAGTATGTCGGTGAATCTCTACCACACATCTGTCTGGATGTCACAGTGACTAATACAGCATTCTGTCATCCTCCAACATTAAGCATCGCCTCCCAAACTCAAGACATATAGATATGTGATTACACTACCATACACGTGAAGTACCAGGCTGTGACATACCCCTCAACTGTCCCAATTTAAGCGGGACATCCTGTTTTGGGAGACCGTGCTCTTGCACAAGTAACATTACTTGCACAGGAGCATGGCCCCAAAAGATGTGCGTCCCAGTTTTACAGTGGGGCATGTTGGAGGGCATGCTGTGGTCAGTGTAAGTAAAGCAGGTGGTCAGCAGCTATTGTGTCAGTCACACATGCTTAGGTTTGGTTACGGACTCAGTAGAATATGGAAACATTTATGCCACGTGGCATGGTTGTATTTCAGCATGAGAGCAGCTAAATCTCAAATTTCCCTGGAAGTCAGGATCACGCCATCTCACATGGGAGCCCTCCACCTACTCATGGGTATATTTTGACTAGCTGATGTTACTAAGTGAGGGCACCATGGCACTCTGCACATGTTTAAGGCACTTTATAGGTTTGCCTGAAAATCCTGGAGAAAAGGTGAGGTTTAGCAACCATAGCCCTACCAACTCAAAAAAACCCCCAACAACTGCCAATTCAATCACTCAGCTATAAGCTTATCCCCCCTTTTTTGCCACATTTTGAATATCATGCGTATAGATCCATGTTCAGTTGTGCGAGCCGATGAACCCCCCCCCCAAATAAACCTTATTTTCTGTTTGAGTATTAACCAGATTACTGCAAAACAAAAACCCCACTGCTTTATAATACACTGGCTATTGTATTCTTACAGAAAATAAAGAAAAAACAAGCTTCCAAAAAATGAAGATTTTATGCAGTGCCATTTTACCAGCAGTGTGTCTGTCTTCATTTGCAATAGCAGATAAATAAATTCCTGGTAAAATCTGTATGACACTGCCCTTGAACATAGTCTCTGATGAGCAAGTTGATATAACATTAAATCCTTCTTCTTCTTCTTTAAATTCTAAGGCCTACTCCAAATGGGAGAATTGTGAAATAGATGGCTTTAAAAGGACAATATGACTTTAAGATGTACAAATACATAAAATCGCTGAGAATTATACACTTTAGGCATTTCATGGAGCCTGAGAGAATCAAGGAACATTTCAGGGAGATTACAGGGAACACAAGGGATTTTTCCCCCTTTAAAATTGTATAGACAGAGCTGACTTTGGGCACCTGCTGAATTACTATTAAAAATTAAATTACTAAGCCTAAACTAACTTGAAATTTCTATTTCCGACCCAGTTTGGAGGTAGTTCCGCAGGCAATGCCCAAGGAGTACTATGCCTTCCTGAAGGCAGCAATGTAGCTGAAGCACCTTGCTAATTCTTCAGTCCTCTCAATTTAATATTATCAATGGAAAATGCTAGGCCAGAATCATATTCAGTCTCTGATGAGCCTCTTTCCTCGACCAAGTTATCAGAGATCCAGATTGTTGCAAAGGTGAGCCTGGAATCAGAAAAGGCAGATGAATCTGTGTTACATTTAAAGAAGTTTCAGAGATAGTTCTGGGTTCTTTGCACCCCAGTTGGACCCACCCTACCCCGTGTGAGGTCTGGAATCCCAGATGTCACATGGAAAAGAGACATCTCCTGTCACGGGGCCATCAAGTAACACTATCTTGTTCCCCCAGACTGAAGCGGACTGTTGTTACTTTCAGTTGCTATTTGCTCTGAAAACAGTGGCTCCTGGATAACAAGGGGTGACATGACACAGACTGCAAATACCATATTGTGGCAGCTGGGAAGATAATGTGTGTTACCAGAGAATTCACAAAGGGGGAAAACTTTGAAACACTTTAAAAATGCAGGTGCACAAATTACTCATGCCAGGAGCAGTGGCATTTTGTAATAAAATCGTATGTTTATTCGCCATCGTTGAAGGTGTGCACCTTACAGTTTTCAGAGAGAAGGTTGCACAATGCTGGATAGTTTGCCGAAGGATTTAATGCCTGTACAGAAAGGAAATGCAACTTATCAATTTATAGGGATATATTCCATCCTTCTCCTGCAGATGGAATGCTTGCTGATGCTTTGGGGAGTTTGGCAAATAACAGAGGGCTCCTCCAGATGATCTGCTTATTGAGCATTCATCCTGCTTTGCTTGCACAACAAACAATGTAGAGATTAGACTATGCCCAGTCTTTATCGAGCATTCATTTGGATTTGTTTGCGGGTTTGTTATTCAACAATGAGCCTTCGCCCTGACTTGCTTGTGCAGTATTTATACACCTTCCTGTTGATCATTTGTTCATCCTTCACTTTCCGGTGCATTCCCCCATCACTTTCCTAACAGCAAAAGGTCTGTTTCTTTGTTTTTAAAAGTGTAGACGTTGCACTAGGGCAACAAAGCACTTAAATCCAAGGAGGTGCTGAGACCATTTCTGTATTTGATGGATTCCAATTGTTCTCTGTGTTCTTCACTTATCTGAAAGTTCTGTGCCATGACAAGAAATCAGGGTTCTTCGTATTGTTGAAGGCTGTTATATCTTCCCTCCTGCAGATTTTAGCCAGTGCCAGCTTTCTGCCCGCTTTTTTGTGTTTGTTTTGGCTCTACTGAGGTTTGACTTGCTGACTGTTCTCATATGTATGTGGAAAATATACTACAGGCTGGTTTTCTGTATGCTCCTATGTGAACTGTGGTAATTTGGGGAGGATGGCCTCCTGAAAGCTTCCATATGAATTTTTCTAATGCTGGAGGCACACTAGCTGTGTGCTCCTGTTGAGTATGTAGATTGAAAATGTCGAGCAAAAGATCTGAATATTTAAATCTCCCCTCCCCTCCTGCTTATAAAGTAGCACAACAATTACCTGAAGAAGAAAAGAAGATTATGATTTTAGCTTGATAGTGAATTGAGCGAGCTCTGGAAAAATATTAATCCCTCACATTTATTTCATGTAGAACTGGATTTGCTTTTGATACTGGAAAGGCAAAATAAGACCAGTGAGACAAGAACTCGGCCCATATTGAGGGAGTTGAAAGTGGTATTCCATTTTTGTCCCTCTTTGGTCAAACAATGCTTTAGAAAGCTGTCTGAAGGTATTGGATTAATCATAGGTTTACTGTGGTTTATTGTCTGCACATCACAATAAAACCATACTTAATGGTTTGCCATGAACACACTGGTCTGAATCACTTTGTTCCTCCCCACTGGTGTGTAGAGGAAACAAACCACAACCTCTGCATTAGCATTATGTCCAAACCAGACGTCGTGGTTTGTTTCTCTCTAAACAAACCATGAACCATAGTCAATGTTTGTTCTTAGCTTATTGATCATGATTTTTTCAAGTGAAGCAAACAAAAATATTGGTTCAGACATAATGCTATAGCAGGTTTCCTTCTCCCACACACAAGCAGGGAGGAGCAAAGCAACCCAGATTGGCACACTGTTTGTAAACTCTTAACTATGGTTTGCCAAGCTGTGTGAACTGGGCCATATAATACCCTGTCAGTGACTGATATTCTACATTGTTTATGTTTGATAATATGATCTGCATGATGTTTAATCTGTTTTCTGAGGTCTCTGCATTAGCCAAACCACATCACACACAAAGTTCTTGACATGTTGAGGGGAAGTGGAGATGGAACCATTTCTTCAGCAGGTGAATCAGAGTGTTGCTTGATGCATATTTAAATTGAGCAACAGGAACAATAAATGCCTGTACTGAATAAATACAAAATGCAACACTTGGCTCTCCAACTGCATTTCTTTCAGTCAGCCGCACTGGGGTGTGGTTCTCAACATTTATTTATGTACCTCAAAAAAGTAGAATTATGTGAATCTATAACATGGCTCTTTAACAAATCTATTCTGACTTGACACACAATTTGACAGAACGTTATAGCTTGGTAGAATAATACAGGACAACAATGCCAATTCTTCAGCTGCCTACTGCAGGGAACCATCTCTAATACATCATGCTGTAAGGTCACCAAGGTCAACTTTCTCATTAACCATATATATTCTCTGTGTAGTCCCGTAGTCATTATGCAAAATGGCAGCATATTAATTGCAATGACTTCTCATCTAAATGAATTTATTTCAAATCTCACTTAATTCAATATTAATTAAAATTAACAATTTGTGGCATTGAGCTATCATCTGGTGAAACAATTTTTTATACTCTTCTTTTTCAACTGATCAGGTCAAGCTGCATAATTTCCTCTTCTGCAGCCCACGCCTATCCATGTACACACAGAAGGAAGTTCCACTGGGGACTAATGCCCAGGTAAGTGTTTTTAGGGTGCCACCCACAGAGCAGACAAAAGCAGGTACTTCCCCCTGCCCCACCATGGTACATGGGTAAATTATGGAATTCACTTCCGCAAGATGTGGTTAACCATTCAGGTAGCTCGAGAAAGAGACAACCAGCATGCTTATGAGTACCAGTCACCATGAATCAATAGTCATTATGTTCTGCTTGTAGGCTTCTTATATGCATCTGGTTGGCCAATGTGAAGGACAGGATACTGGACTAGGCAGACCTCTAGCCTGCTTCATCAGGAATATTCTCTTCTTTTATGTAAAAGGCAGATGAAAAATTGGAAGTTCCTCTTTTGTATTTTTTTGCTAAGGTTTTCTTTTGCTTTCTTTGTGTTCTCATCTCTTTCCCTTTCCTCTGTTTCTATTGTCGCTTTTCTTTTTCTGTTTTTCTACTTTGTTTTGTATCTTTTGTAGCTGCAATTTTACTGTATTGCAGGGAAATCTCAATAAAGAAACTTAATAAAAAAAGAAAAGAAAGTTGACCCTTCATCAGAGGGTTAAGGACCTACATACACAAATAAAAAGACAGAACACAGACAGCAGACCTTATTTTCAGTAACCATTGAGTACCTCCATGTGGACAGGCACTCACTTTGGATCTACGGAAGCTGTCCAATCAAAGTTCTTAAGGCAAAAATTTCTCTCTACCACCCTAGTCCCAAACGTATCATTGCGCCTAATCTTCCCTTGGTAGAATTACAGATCTGGAGTAGGACACTTAACTATTGGCATTGCCTAAACTCAAATCCCCCTGCTCTAATATCCCTAGTGCTGCAAAATTGTCATAAGAGAGCCCGGACTAAAATTGTCTATCAAAAAATTAACTCTTGTGGTTTATCACCACAACAGCTACTCACTTTGGGTTTTAGTAAAGCAAACAGTCTAATTTGTCAGTGCCACCCTAAATGATATCGAGTGTCAAAACAACTTAGCCACAATAAGGAAATTTTGCCCATGGTATGACTATTTACCAACTTCCCATTTTGACTCTCTGGGTGTACTTGAGGGACGATTCCAACATATTCCACACAAAAAACGCTTATGTCCCTGTGGAGATGGCAGTACCGAATCGGTGGTGCATGCCCTTGTGGCTTGCACTCTTTATAAAGACTTGAGGAATGAGATTATCACCCCTCTTTTATTGTCCATTCCGGGTCGCCCAAGCACTGCCACAGTGTCCTTTCTCTTGGCAGATCAAGATGAGCAGGTGACAGCAAATGTTGCAAGGCTTTTAGCTGGGCAATCAGAAGATCTACTATTTGGCCATTGATTCAAAACCCTAAAGTGTATTTTATACTATTAACTTCTTATTTCTATTCTTTGTATATTGTATTGTTGTTTTATTGCTGTGGCTGATGGCTGATGCAAATAAAGAGTCATTCGTTCGTTCAACCATTGAGTACCTTCTCAAGTTTATGGTGAGCTTATCTCTGCATGGAAATAAGCAAGGCAAGCCTTTGTACCATGTACTATAGTACATGGTGGCCAACTGGCCTCCTGTGTCATGCCATCAGTGAACATTCATTTTGTGCAAATTCTGCACCAAGGCCTACTTAGGGGTCTCTTTTCTATAACAGTCCTGGAATCTGAGGAGAAAACAAATTCTGAACATGTGCAAAGTTTATTCTCCTTAGCCCTGAGTAACTACAGATTTCCAGCCTCCCTGCCTCCTTAGAATATAAGAGCAAGTGGCGTCTGCACACATTCTTAGAGTTTTGAGTTAAGAATATATATATATCTTTCCCCACCCAAGCCTGCTCTTGGTTTCCTCCTCCCTGCCTGAGGCAATTTTTCACAGAAACCACAGGGTTGCTTTTTCCCTTTTCTAGGTAACTGGGATGGGGCAAGAAGTCAAGAAACGGTGTAGATTGCATGCACAGCAGCTGCCAGAATGGACCGCTCTAGCTTCAGACATTTTTGAAGAGATGGGAGAGTGGTGAATGTGGGCTCTGGCCTGGGAGGCCTGGCATTGGGGTCCCCCACCTGCTCTTAATGACTAGTCTCCACTGCAAGTATTTATATTTTATTCTGAGGCTTTGGGGAGGAAAAGAGTGCAGGAGTTGTGGGGAGGGGAAGCAAACGCATGTAAAAGAAAACATTTTGCATCACTTTGTTTGCCTCAGATCATATAACCTGTGTGATTAACAAGTGCCTTTTTATTTTTTTAACACTATCAGTAAAGGGAGAACATATGCAACTTCTGAAGTTTACTTGTGGTGCTGTCAAGACTGGGCCATGGGCACAAGTCAGAGGTAAGCCAGGAATGAGGTGTAGCCAGTAGGGAGGTTGGCAAATTCTGACAGAAATGGAAATGGGAGTGAAAACTACCGGTGTTTGCTTATTTGCCCAGAATGGAAATCATAGAATCATAGAATGGTAGCATCAGAAGTGACCCCGAGGGTCACCTAGTCCAACCTCCTGAAATTCAGGAATCTCAACTAAAGCATCCATGACAGATGGCCACCCAATCTCTGCTTAAACACCTTCAGTGAAGGAAATTCCACCACCTTCTGAAGGAGTCTGTTCCTCTGCTCCACAACTCTTACTCTCAGAAAGTTCCTCCTGGTGATTAGTCGGAATCTCCTTTCTTGTAACTGAAGCCATTGGTTGGGGTCCTACCCTCCAGAGCAGGAGAAAACAAGCTTGTTCCATCTTCCCTGTGACAGCCCTTTAGATATTTGAAGATGGCTATTATATCTCCTCTCAGTCTCCTCTTCTCCAGCCTAAACATACCCAACTCTCTCGACCATTCCTCAATAAGGTTTGGTTTTACAGACCCTTGAGCATCTTGGTCGTTCTCTTCTGCACACGTTCCAGTTTGTCAATATCCTTCTTGAATTGTGGCGCCCAGAACTGGACACAGTACTCCAGGTGTGGTCTGGCCGAGGCAGAATACACCTGGAGTACCGCAATGACAATGTACTTTACATAATTAATTACATAAATTAGGTAAATTACATGATTTTTGCCAACAATATGAATAATGTAGGTTTTGGCAGAAGAAAAGCTGCAGTGGGATGGAAGCAGTGCTGCATGCAACAAATACAGAGCAGAAAAGTAAACAATGACTTCTTATATCGCTGTTCAGTTGTCAAGACTGAATAGGGCCAAAGCAGGTCACACGACCAAAGAGGGAACTAGAACTGAGGATGGAAAAGTCAGGATTAAAGGACAAACCAGAATGCAGATTAGAGGAGTCAGCTAGGACTGCAGGATACAGGAACACATCACAGCTCAGGAAGGCCTCGTTGCTTAAGAAACATTTAACTGGAACAGAAAGCTCTCTTATAGTGTTTCCCATCCAATAACCAGTGTGGGTGGGCAGTGGCTGGCTGGGCAGCAGCAGTTAAGGGCCTGTGGATTCAACACTGCCTTCACCACACTGGGCAAACACACACTGGCCCAAAAGCTCCCAGTTCAATTCCTGGCATCTCCTGATAAATGTCAACCTTGGGTTTCATCATTGCACCTCAGTGTGGTGTAGTGGTTAGAATGCTGAGCTAACACCTGGGAGAATGGGGTTCAAATCCTGACCCAGCCAGAAAGCCCACTGGGTGACTTTGGGCCTATCACTGTCTCTCAGTCTAACCTACCTCACAGAGTTGCTGTGAGGATAAAATGGGAAGAGGAGGGGCTCATGTCCACCATCTTGTGCTCCTTGGAGAAAAGGTGGGATAGAAATGCTAAGCAAGCAAGCACATTCAGCACAATGTGGGTGTAAAGGAGTTGCTCCCTAAAAACTGGGCCAGGGGCAGTGCAGAGGTGTGGGTGTGTGCTGGCCAGAACAGAGCTAAGAAAAAAATGTGGTTGTCCCTGTTGAATTGGGATTGAAGGAAGGCATGCATATACCCTTTACCAAGAAATGTGAAATTAGATTCATTATTCCATGGAGCTGTATGTTTGCCTCTGTAAGCCTTACAAAAAGTGACGACTGTAGTCAACAGAAGATATGTTAGTTGTTTCATTTGTATTCTTTGTACCAAATCTTCTTGCTGAACTTCTGTAACCAAGGGGAAAATCCAGTACAAATTGAAGGTGTTTTACAACATGGTGCAGAGACTTAGAATTCATTAGTGTACTGGCTAAATCATACAGCTGCACAAGACATTATTAAAACATCTCCGACTGGAGGGAGAGTGGACACAAGACTTCAAGTTGGGGCGGGGAGGAGCCTAAATTTGCATTTTCCTTTTGAATCTTTCTGAGGCTCGCAAATATGTATTTCGTTTGTACGGCATAGCTGGCCTAGAACAACCACTTATTTCTGTGCATTTTTAATATAGGTTAGCTTTAATGAAACTATGTTGTGCCTTGATATCAGCCTAACATGTCCACAAAGCAGCATGGGCCCTGGCTTCACATCAATATTTCCCTGTCAGAGGTATACTGGAATAAAGGTATAAACTTAGAAGCCAACCCAGCAGCATGTTAATTATCAATGAATTCAAAGGGAATCTACCTTGAAGGAGGAGACTATTGCGCAGCCACAGCTCCCCTTGATGCCAATAGGAATGACACATGTGCATTTATGACACAGTAAGACCTTGGATTAGAACGGCAGGGTCTAGTCATAGACTAGCTAATTCGTGCGGTCGTAAGACAATAATGAGGCCTGAACATTGTGGGAACTTCCACCATCTCCAAAGTTCATAAAGCAATGTGACTTTGGGAAATATTCCAGCAAGGTACTCCCCCCCACCAGACTTAAGAAAATGAAACAAATCTTAAAGCACGGAGAGTCTTTCCTGGTGAATCAAATAGCTGTCTTGACTATGACTTCAGTCTTAAACTTTAGAAACAAGCCAACTTCAGCAAGTGGATTCCCTACAGAAGGGGGGACCTCAGCAGTGGTGCCAACTTGAGTAAAATAAAATATTGGGGAGCGGGTCCAGGTAAGCCCTGCCCCACATAATATTGGGCAATGTGCATCAACTTGGGGGGGGGGGGGCTTGCTTCCTCAAATATTCTATTGGGGGTGGGTGAAGGGACATTGGCCCTTAGGAGTTATGTCACACTGGTAAAGCAAAGGCACTCTAAACCTTTGCAGTTATTATTCCCTCCTATAAGCCCCGGAACTGAAAAAAGTAGCCACAGCCCTGGCATAAATTATTCCCTGCTCATATTGCAGATCAAGGCCTGAGAGACTGAGAGACTGTGACTTATCTATGGTCACTTCTTATGTTCAGGGCTTACAGCTCACACATTTAGGCAAGCCAGCTTTCAGAATATGATGGAAAGATTATGCAGGCAGAAAGACACACAGAATGGAGGCAAACCCCGTACAACTGCAGTGTATCCTGCTTGACAAAATACTGAGGCAAAGGGTGTCAGCAGTGTACTAGCAAATGCCTATTTGCTTGAGCCCATTTGGTGACAGGTGACAGAACTGAATGGAACCCACAGGGACAGGATGTGAATCAAAGTTGCCCATCGCTGCCCTCAAAGTGCTTCTTTCCAAGAACAAGTGGGAAAACTCCAGCACAATCCCTCGACCGCCCTCCCTTGCGCTCAACAGTCTCAAAGCCGCTAATTTGTCTGAAGATTATAAAATTGTACATTTATAATAGTGATTAAGGACAAACATTTTTCTCCTTGAATCAATTTAATAATTGTCTGGATCAATTATCTGGGAGCAGAGCATCATTAAAATGCATTTGTTTTCGTCCACAACCATGAATCTGACTGTGTGTCTTGCTGCAAGGGTTCATATTGCATGGCATCAGATTGTACCTGTCATTAGGCAGCTGCAAATCACCTTGTATCTCCTAATGCAACATGACTGTCAAGCCAATACAATATTCTATAGTCTAATTTTTCAGTCAATTCCTTGTTTTTGCTCTCATAAGTATACCATCGTCTGGAGTCATAAACAGAACCCAGGTGCATTATGTTGGGCCCTGTTTAAAATGTGTAATGCCCACCAAGCAGGGAAGAGACTTACAACACAACTCTGTTTGTGTCAACTCAAAAATAAGTCCCACTGAGTTCACTAGGGAGTAATTCTAGGCAAATGTGTATAGGATTTCAGTCTGGGAAATTTCGGGGGAAGTTACTTCACAGAAGCTGACCAAATGAAGAGAGGGCTTTGGTTTTACTGTTTTGTGGTCAGATGCCTCCTTGTTATCTCTTCACCCACAGATTTGCCAAGTGTAGCGCAGCATCTAAGGCAGGCTTCTCCTGAGCGTGAGAGACGAGGAGGTGCAGCCACTGGAGCTGCACAATAAGGCCTCCTCCCAACGATGCATTCTTCATGCACCTCCCAACCTTCAGCCCAGTCTCTGAGATACAGTAATGAAAGATGAGATCTCTGAGATATAGTAATGTAGACACCATTCTACATGTTATGCTCAAGGCAGACACTCTACACTAATGGCCAAGAAGAGCAAGCAAGACCCGTCAAACATTATACTTTACAAGTTGTCTTGTTTATTGTTCTGTTGTGCAATATTTGCACCAGGGCAAGCTCAAAGCAAGGGGGCTGAGGGTTAAGTAAAAATTACAATAGAAGGAGAGAGATGCTCTTAGCCAGCTGAAAACTCCCTCATGGTAGTAGAAGCCTTATTCAGAGACCTTGAAACTCTGCAACTCCTACTAAATTGGTACACTTAAGTGCATTTTAAGTAGTCACCAACTTGGCCTAGCTTGGAGTTGCCATGATAATATCCAAGCTCTGCAAAAGTGCCACCCTAGGGACCAGCTTTTGGGGCTATGCTTGGATATCACAAACATACGCATCAGCCTTTCAAAATATGCTTGGATGTCACAAAGTGAAACAGCTATGTTGCATCAGGGTGGTTGGCTTGAGTAGGCTACAAAACAATTACAGGAAGACTAATCTCATAGAACATCAGAATAAAGCTCCTTCTCTGGTGTAGGCTAGCATTCCTGATCATGTTATATGTGTTTTCAAATGCAATGTAATGACTATCAAATGAGGTTTTATGCCGACTTCCATCTTAGTTCCAAGATCATCATATCTCTGCTTCCCAGTGACTCTTGCCCAAAGCAGTGTTCCCATACAGATAAGTGATATACTGTCTTCTTCACCTGTGGACTCTTGATGTTATTTCATGGCTTAATAAACAGCAGGAAATTGTTATTCCCTCCGGAGACTAAGAACATCCTCTCCAAAACAAACCTAGGGTTTACCTAACTGAACAAGTGCACGCTTGTCTCTGTTGTCTATGTCAGGATGCAACTTCCTGAGCTGATGAAGTTGAACATAATAACAGATTTTTCTCCCTCCCATCATGACTGAAATTTATTTGGAAGGCAGAAAACAAGACAATTTGAAAAAGAGACAGGTCAGAGGCTTCAGGAAGTTTACATTTGGATGCATATCTCATTCTAAATACCTGCATGTCTACCCCCTGCTCAAAACCCAAGTTCTTTGTATGCACTTCCTGTCCCTCCCCTCAGTTGCACATTACCTTATGAACTGCTCTCCCCCTTTTTTTTTTACTGCCCCACCACCACCACCACCACCCAACAGTGATGATGTTCCTTTGGCTTGCATTCTGTTTTTTAAGACGTATGTCTGTTTTGGAACTTGGTGAAAAAGAGATATGAATTACAAATATTATGATGCATTAAGATGTGAAAAGACAATGGTTAAATAACAAAAGCTGAAGGTCTGAGCCTAGAAAAGAAATACCACTGGAATTCCATCAGAAGGAAAGATAAATGAACAGAACTACAGTGACATCTGCTGGTCTCTTCGTTGGCAAGACAGGTCCTGGAAACTGACAGCAGATGGTGAGAATAGAAGTTAAAAATATAGATATTCTTCATAAAATGTTACTGATGTGCAGCAACTATGATAATGAACTCTAAGCATAGGACAAAAACCCAGTCATATATTTCAGGAAGTTGTAGTATTATTCCTGCAATCTCATGTGTAAAGCAAGGTAAAAAAACAAACCATTACATCATTCAGCTGAATTGCTGGGCATAAATGTTACATGTGATCAGTAATTTGAGGTGGATTAATTTCCAAATGTCCCTCTTAAGTCTTGTTAAATAAGTGCTGTTTCACCCAAATACCCAGAGCATGCTGCTTGAAAAACACTAGACACACAAATTTGGGTATCTCAGAACAATCTGCCACTTCTTAATGCATCTATAGAAGATGGCAAGAACTATAAAAGTATTCTGACCATGATTGGTCCTTAAGGATACTTAAGGATACTGTATGCAGATATTTAAAGACTGTCATGAATAGGGATTTGCCATTTAAGCATTAATGGCTTGTGCAAGTTTTTGTTGTTTTAACATAAACTGTCAACCTCTACCTTCCCTGAAAATATTCAGTCTGGGTACGTCTTTAATTTTGCTTTGGACCACAGCCACAATTTTCCTTTGCCTAGAGAATTTTCTAAAATAAACTTTGTACTATATAATCTTTAATTTAGTCCTAAAAGTTAGGGCAACAATTATAACAATCCTAGGTCAGTTGGTTAAGGACACTGAATCTGCTGTCTTTAACACCATTTTCATAGGAGCAAGTTCCATTGTATTCAGCGGGGCTAGTTCATACTCAATGGAATATACCATACTTCTGAGTAGAGATGTATTGCAGTGCACTGTTACTTAGAAGGAAATTCCTTATGCATCCATGGAACCTTGGTGTGTGTTTTTTTAAAAAATAGAACTGAAATATTAATTTATTTGGAATATTATTTTTACAAATTAAAGAAATTTATATCCAACTTGGAAAAAACTGAACTACCGCAGTACAGATGAAAGCTGGATACTACTTAATGAAGATGGTAGTTTTTCTTCACTAATCAATTAATTTAGAAATGTGTCACATAAACACACTGGCCACAATCCAGCACTCCACAGGGATCCTGCATCATGTATGGCGCTTTCCCTGCACTGAAGAGAATGTTGAAACCAAGAGCTCCATTTCAGAACGAGGTGGGATGGGTAAACACTGGGAGGCAAGATTCAAAGCAGTGTGTTTTAAGAACACATCTTATGGTTATTTTCCTTCTTTTAAAAAAGCATTTAAAAACAAAAAATTGGTCACAGCAAAAACATACACTTTAGAAAACAAAAACATTCAAACACTGCTTCCTTAAGGGGAAAAAACCACCCCTTAACACAAGTACAGTGGACGCTCGGTTGCAAACGTGATCCATGCGGGATGCACATTCGCAACCCGCAGTGGCGCGGCTGCAGGTTGCGATTCGGCGCTTCTGCGCATGCGCAAAGCGCGATTTAGCTCTTCTGCACATGCGCGACTGCCAAAACCCGGAAGTAACCCGTTCCTGTCCTTCTGGGTTTCGGCGGTCTGTAACCCGAAAAAACACAACCTGAAGCGGCTGTAAACCGAGGTATGACTGTAATAAGACTGCTAAAATGTTAAAATGAGCCTGACTATTTCTTCAGATTGCAGGAGCGATTTTTCAATATCTAGCATATAAGAGGACATAATAAAACAAGGTTAGCCTTGCACTCATACATATGCCGACTCAGAAACCAGCCTCATTTAGTTCAATGGGGCTCACGCCCAGGAAAGTCCGTATAAGACTGTTGCTTAACTGTTCTTTTTCTTCTATTTTTGTTTTCCCTCCCATATCCTTTGCAAGATGGCCAGCCAAGTGAGTGCAACCTATTGGTGCTAAATACAGAGGTATGTGTTAATATCTGAACAGCATCACTCTGGTGTGGTTTGTTTTGTGCAGAAATTATTGGAGATAAGAAGTTCAAGCCAAGGACAGTGTTCCATAAGTTCCTGAAGAGACCACATTTGAGACTTGTATACATTTGAGACAGCCATTGCACATGTGCAGATGACAGCTTCGGTGAACCGGTGCTCAGTACAAGAAACAAATCAGGCAATGTGTATCAGGTGAGGACATCTCCACCCCCTCTCTGGGGGTGTGCTCAACATAAGAAAGCATAAGAAAGTGTACCAGATAGAGATGGGAAGAATTGCTTTAATTCTCATTTTAATATGTACCAATTTTTTACCAATATGCAAACCAAACCACAGGTTCAGATTTTTCTGGACATTACCAGGATTTCAAATGCAGAATTGATTCCCAGGGGGAATTCAGAAAGGCAGCACTTTGTCCTGGATCTTAGGGAAGTCAATCGAAAAATTTGAGGTTTTTTGACGCTTTTGTGAAAAAAGCTGAACAATTTTTGGGGTGTCCTGGTTTTTACTTTTTGAAATATGGCAACCCTAACCATAGGTCACTATTGAAATTTACACTGCTCCAAATTTTGGTCTCAGACCAAAAAATGTGTGCAAAAACTTGTGTATTAGTGCAAGCAAAAGTGTTTATAATTAGTGAACCTAAAATGCGTTCTATTTAGCGGCAAACGGTTTGCAAAAATGCATGTGCTCACCAAAATTGTGTACAAAAAATTACATATAATAGGAGAAATACACATGAAAATCATGCACACTTTTTTAAAAAATCAAACATATGTGGAAATGGGGGGAAACCGATATTAAGGCGGGGGAAATGAAAAAAACAAGAGAAACCAAATTTGACAGATTCATTCATCCCTATGAGGAGATGCATCCAAACATAGCAGCCAAATCCTAGGGGCCGAGGAGACTGCCCTGAAGGGTAGTTCAGCACTGTGACTTAATCTGTTCCTCTTTTGCCCGCTAGTTTGTCATGGGCAAGCAATCTCATTGTTAATGTAAAGTGCTAAACAAATTGCCTAATGTGGGTTGTTGATATTATTGGAATTTGATATTGCTCACTGACCTATTGGATGTTTCACACTCTTTAAACTTTTGGTATGTTTTAAATTAATTGTATTCCTTCAAATGCCAATAGTACATGGTAGTGTGTTATTTGATATGGCTATTGTGCTATTTTCCTTAAACTGACCTCTGTGAGTCACTTGGAACACAATGTATTTTTGCAAAATGTAGTATATAAGTAAGCCGACTATGACTGACAGTGGCTACGGTATAAAACCAAGAAAAGACACTGCTTGATATCTCCGATTCCAGTCCTCCTACTGAAGTCATCTGCGGGCACATCAGATGTCTTTTAGTTTGGACTAAAGCCACTGAATTAAGGTGATGTGCTGCGTACAGAAATACAGACTCTTTTCAGATGAATGCCACTAGCACTTTCACAGGGAACAGAGCTGATTAAAATCCTGTTTTAAATTTGCATCTCTGGGATTGATTAGTAACCCTGGGGTCCTAGAGGAGCCCCCTTGGAAGGCCTTACATTGGTCATGGGAAGCATCAGATTTCATTCTCCAAGGGCGGAGAGGAAAGTATGACCTTGAAGAGGGAGATCTGGTGTCAGATGCCTCCTCTCTGCTACCATGGAAACTTCTGCAGACCTTGCCTTGAAAAGGGGAGCATGGCAGTGGCAGACCAGGCCTCTGACTTGCCCATAAACCAGGGAGATTATTCCACCTGGAGTGTTGTGAAAGGGATGGAAGCATGCAAGACCACTGCTAAGCCCTTACATCTAGTCTTCTGTGTGGTCAAGCATGGTGTTGGATAAGGTGGTTCATCCACTGTCATCCACCCCACCTGTTGTCACTAAATCGAGTGATCAGTTTGGCAATCTAAGGCTTTCAGCCCTACCTAAAGCAACAATGTATGAGCGACATTCAGCACCACGTGAGTGGGTTTCTTCTCATGCAATGAGACTTTCCCTTCCTCTCCTCTCCCTTGCAACCCCAACGTCTGTTCCAGGGCTGCAAGGCAGGACCTGTTCCACCAATAGTACCTATTCCGCTGGATTTTATCCAATGTCTGTTTATTTCAAAAGACCAAATGCCCCGTTTATATTTCCTATATTGGTTAGGGTGTTGTTCTCTCTTTTCTGTTGGATATTTAAAGGCGGTTGATAAATAATTTATTTAATTATCATATAAATAGCGTATCTTGCATATTTGTAATTCCAGTTATAATTTTTTTAATGAAGATTCCATCACTTTCGTCAAATGCCATTAGTAAAAAAAACCACACCACATAATATTCAAAATACCTGCAACATGTATCATTGCCACCATAATCTTAATGACTGGAGGCAGGATCCACAATTAAAAAAAAACACACAAAACCTTACATTTCACTTTGAATCAGGCCTGGTGCCAGTACATAACATTCTGGAGCAAATGCCAGGGCCACAACAGGATTTATCACCACTACCAGCAAACTGCCAGTGCTACCGCCATAGCTGTGCAACGAGGACCTCTTGGTCCACTTGGCACGTGTGGTGGTCAGCACCTCCTTGTCAATGATGCTGCCATTCTCCCGAGGTATGCACACTGGGACAGAGCTGGCATCATTAACAGGACAGCAGTGGCCAGTATGTGTGATGACTGGGCCTGGAGCTGCATCACTGAAACACTGGAGAGACAGTAGGGAAGCTCCTGGCCTGCATGTACGTACTGTCTGGTGTCATACTGTCAAGGATATTGGCTTCACCCCTCCAACCTACACATGCCAGGAGTGGGCCAGTGTCAGTAACAGGGCAGAACTGACCACTGAATGCGTGCCTAACAGGAAGTTTCTAATTCTGGGAAGTTTAAAAGAAAGGCATAAAGACAACTGCCCTCTCCTGTTGTTTGTCCTTTTCATCTGGGATTCAGAGATCCACTGTCGCTATATGCAGAGGCTGCATTTAGCTATTGTGTCCAAAAGCCACCAATTGTACTGTATCATGCCTGCTCCTATGAGCTGGCACAAAAGGGCGGGGGAAGATTGAGATGTCAGTTAACTTCTTTTCCCAGCCCTACGGGGAGACACCAGAGATTCAGTTTTGGGCCTTCTGTATATAAAGCAGATGTTCTACCACTGAGGTGTGGCCCTATCCCAGCCAGATCAGCCAGGGATCTGATTCAGTATAAAACAGATTGCTCTGCTCCTAATTCCTTGGAGGGCAGCAGTGCAATGATTTGTGTGGATTGTCACCCTCTTATGAAGGGGTCCGTTTTCTGCCTGCAAAAGTTGTTCTTCAACAGGCAGCTAATGAAGCAGCAAAAATAAAATAAAATATAAAGGTTGTGCTTCAATGGTGTGGAATTCTGGGACCTTTAGATTTGATCTACTAAGGCTTTCTCTCTCTCTCTCTTGGGTATCAGCAAAGGTGTATGACACTCCAGGCTTCTAATTCATGGGCTAGTGGCTGTTCATTCTGCTACCTGCTGAGCTTCCATCATAATGATGAGTTCTAGTCTTCAAGAGTAATATTTTACAGAACAGCTAGATGCACATAGGCAAACACACACACACAGAGAGAGAGAGAGAGAGAGAGAGAGAGAGAAAATAATAGCACCTATCGCACATTCAGATGCCAAATGCCAAAAGAGAATAATGATTGAGAAGCATGATGCATTATGAACATGGGCTATGGGGGATGACTGGAGTGTAGAGTTAAAAACAACCCTTTTATATAACAGAGGCAAGTGGGAAGAAAGAGGATGTTCCATTCTTTCACTCTACCTTGTATGTTCATTCTTTTCTGGTCCAAGGGTATATATCTATGCAAAGCAAAAATCCCCCTTTTCAAAATCCTCATGATAGCTACTCTGAAACCTATAGGTTTTCAGCATCTGCGAACAAGTTGCTTTGCTGTGGCCTGTTTCTAAAGTAAGGCAACTACTCCTAAATGGGCAGCCAGCCTAAAATCACACAAGAGCAAATAATCCTTGCCTTCTATTTACCACATTTCAAGGCAGCTTTAGATACCCTTTTCTATTTCTTCATTGAAAAGACATATGCCGCCTTTTCTATGACCAAGGCAGTTACTTTTTTAAAAACAACAACACGAAAACAGCTAAAAACACAATCACATTAAAACTATGAACAGCAGATAGAAGTATCAGTGCAGTACCATTATACTGCAAACAGAACAATTCACAAGCAACCCTGTAAACCCTCCGGAACAGCACGAGGAGGGAGGGGCTAGGGAATCCTTTTGTCTAGCAAGCTGAAATGCTATAGATTGCTATAGGGTTACGTTGGATTCTTCCCCCTTTGCGCAATTTGGTTTTGATCCCATTATGGGAAACAGAGAGAGAGAGAAAGACAGACAGAGAGACAGAGAGACTTTCCCCTATGTCAAAGCCAGTACTGATGATACCAATACAGTGGTAATTCGGGTTAAGTACTTAATTGGTTCCGGAGGTCCGTACTTAACCTGAAACTGTTCTTAACCTGAAGCACCACATTAGCTAATGGGGCCTCCTGCTGCTGCCGCGCCGCCAGAGCACGATTTCTGTTCTCATCCTGAAGCAAAGTTCTTAACCCGAGGTAATATTTCTGGGTTAGCAGAGTCTGTAACCTGAAGCGTATGTAACCCGAGGTACCACTGTACATAGCCAGCCGCAAACTTGAATTAGATTTGTTGTTGTTGTTTAGTTATGTCCGACTCTTCGTGACCCCATGGACCAGAGCACGCCAGGCACTCCTGTCTTCCACTGCCTCCCACAGTTTGGTTAAACTCATGTTAGTAGCTTCGAGAACACTGTCCAACCATCTCGTCCTCTGTCGTCCCCTTCTCCTTGTGCCCTCAATCTTTCCCAACATCAGGGTCTTTTCCAGAGAATCTTCTCTTCTCATGAGGTGGCCAAAGTATTGGAGCCTCAGCTTCAGGATCTGTCCTTCCAGTGAGCACTCAGGGCTGATTTCCTTAAGAATGGATAGGTTTGATCTTCTTGCAATCCATGGGGCTCTCAAGAGTCATATCTATTTATTATTTTCCATATCTATTTATTATTTCATGGAACTAATACGCCACTTGATTGAAAGAAAAAACCTCAATGTGGTTTATAAAAAGTATAGCATAATATTATCAGCAAAAACTGTTTAAAACAATCTAATGCAAATGATGCCAGCTATTTGACTCCTGTTGGCAGCCTTTGGAGTCCCTCCAGCAAGCATGTGGAGGGACACCAGTCAGTGCCTTCCTACAAGACGGCTCTTTCCTTTGGATGCTTTAGCTGAGATTCCTGCATTGCAGGGGGGGGGACTAGATGACTCTCATGGTACCTTCCAAATCTACAGTTCTTTCCTTCTATTTTTAACTGGAACAGGGGAGTTTAAAGGAACACCGGGAGCAGGGGAGATGTTAGAAAAAATAGACTGGCGGTATCCTTCACAAAAACCCAAGAAGGCAGGCTCCAAGTGAAAAGATAGGCCTTTATTAAAATACAGATGTGTGTAGGGACAGCCTCAAAAATAAGGAGGCTGCTTTCTTCTAGGGTCCAAAACTGGGGCTGGTTTGTTGGCAGTCCCTTCAGGGCCACTATTTTGACAGGTGGAAGGATAATCTGAAACATTCAGTCCCTGCTGGATCTCTAATCATGGTAGTGGACCAGAATATGACAGTGGAAACTCAGCTTTTTGCATCTCTGTGTTTTTCACAGAGAACAGGTAAGTTTTCGTGTTCTGATGCTGTCGCTACTTTCTACCTTTTGTATTTTCCAAATCTCGCTCATCTCACGCTGTCACAAGATTGCAATATGTGGTGTTTTGAATGTGAACTTCTCTTACCTAGTTTTTGTTGTTTTTTGAGCCTCTCCATAGCTAAGTTGCACCAGAGCAGGCAGCGCCAGATTCCACAAATCCCCAGTCAAAAATCCACCCCATGCAGCAATTCTCTGCCTCTAGCCTCTTCTCTCTATTACTGAAGTAGTAACTAAATGTATGGTCCAGGCAACATGGAGTGGTTAGCCTGTGGCAGCTAATCATTTGAGCCTTTTATATTTCTGTATTGAACCACTAAGACTTTTTACTTCTTGTTAAGCCATTTTTGTTAATAAATATTCTCATTATAACTACAGCGTGACTATTGCTAATTCCCTAAAGAAAGCGCACTTATATTGTAACCGCAAAATTCCCTTCTGCAAGTGAAGTAATTGGGCCCAATGCAATAATGTCTGTGATGTACTATCATTTCCAGTAAAAAAATCCAAAAGTAGTATTGCTAATTCCCCAAATTAGCGTGTTCCATGAATACATGCATAAGATCAGGGTGCATAGGCATATGTGCACTTGCATGCAAGAGGATTTGGTAACTGTGAAAAATGTTGCTCCCAGCAAACAATTTTCATCAAGAGCATGGCAGGGGAAGGAAGGGTTTACTCTTCTTCTCAAAACCCTGCAGCCCACTGGTGGTTGGACCCTCTGTAGCAGCTATTTTTTTTATGTGGGTGTGATGTGGGTGTATTAGAACATGTATATTAATTGTATTCACACAATAAACATAATGTATAATTTGGCCCTTAGATTATTTGTTGCTATTACATAGTGTCTAAACAAGCATATGACTTTCCTTTCTTGTAAAACTATCTAGAATGTTTATTTGATTGAAGAGAATTTCATCATTGGTCATTAGTTTGATACCACATGCTTTCTTTCTGCAATCCTAAGTATTAATAGTGACTCATGTAGACACAAGTGCACTGTCCATGCACAAGAATGAAGTAGCAGCAGACTTGCGGGATCTCTACAGTTTACAAGGAAGGAAGAAAAAAAATCTCTTGGGGTAGCAAACCTTAAAAAAATCAAACCATAAAACAGCCCAATGAGGACTACGGTTTGGGGAGATGCATTTAAAGGTGAACGCACCAAATTCACACTTTCTGAAACAAGAGATTTTCCCTTTTCTCTGTCTTGAAACTTCCATCATTCCTCTTCAGTGGATGCCCCAGGTTCTAGTATTATGAGCGAAGGAGAAACCCTTTTCCTTTTTACACTTTCCTCACATTGTGCACATTGTTGAGGGCTTCATACCCTGCCAGCAAAACCTTAGATTTGGCATGGTAACATTTTGGCAGCCTCACAACTGGTTTTGTGTGTTGACAGAAAGCACCCCAGGCTACATGCCGTGCAGCTGCATTCTATACTAGCTGCAGCTTCCAGATCAAATGCAAGGGCAGCCCCACACAGAGCACATTGCAACAATCAAATCATGACCTTTCCAATGCATGAACCTCTTGAGCCAAACTACACCTGTCCGGGAATGGCTGCATCTCTCACACCAACTTGAGAGTGGTAAAAAGCACTCCTAATCACCAAGGCCACTGAATTACCATGATGGATCAATGAGTATTCCCAGACTCCTGGGACCCAATGATAGATCAAGGAGTACCTGTTCAGAGGAAGTGCAACCCCATCCAAAACTGATCTATAAGAGACCTATCTCCCAGACCATAGAACCACCCACCCACAGGTCCATCATCTTCCTAGGATTCAGCTTCAGTTTACTGGCCCTTATCTAGGTCAACACTGCCTCTTGACATCACCCTTTCCTTTTACTATATATTTCCCTTTGAGGAAGCTAAAATGGTAGTTGTGCATATTTACAGCTGGGTATTATAGTACTGTATGCACAAAAATTAAAGAAATGTCCCTGTATAATGCAGTAACCATTTTGCTTGAGGCACCACCACTCCAACACTAGCATGGGTGGGAACCAACACTTGATAAGTGTTGTTTATTGGGGTCAGAAATGAAGCATGGGCATATTCAACTCTTCAAACAAGCACTGTAATGACTTGCTCCCAGTGTTCAGGGCGACATTGCCCTTTATTTCACGTCAGCTAATTTGCACACACTGTCCTTCCAACATTATCCTAAACTATTCTGCCAATCCAAACAAATCCATTTGCCATGGTTTGCAGCATCAAATTCTTGAGTCTTCAAAACAAGTTGTTTGCATTAGCAGGAAGAGTTATGGAAGCAAGAGGCTGTGTATTGTATTTCTGTCTCACAAGCAGGTGCCCTGAGAAGCATCTATTTGTAGCAACACAATCCAGATGCCACGGCTGTGCTTCTTTACATGGGCAATTGTGTACATTCCCGTGAGTTTACTCTCACCCCCAGGAGGGGTCACCTTGCAAAGTTTTCTTGTCCTGGACGGGCTCCTCGATGCTAAGAAACTCATAACTAATTACTATGACTTCAATTCTTAACTGGACCAGCTGTGTCAAAGCAAGGAAGCCACAGTTCCCAAGTGTTGTAGGATCTATAATTTATCTTCCCTATAAAAAAGTCAATATTGGACAAAAGAATGACATTTTAAAAAATCATAAAATAAGTAGTGTGGTATTTACCCAACACGGTCTTTTCTTCTCATAGTTTTATATCACATGTTGAGCTCTGTTTATACACCTCTTATGCTTTTTGTGTGCGTGAGAGTCGGATTATTCTCTTCTCACTTTGGAAGACTTCTGGGCTAGAGATGAAACAAGACCACTGAGAAAAGAATGTGCCTACGAGAGAGCCTCTGAAGACACTGAATTTTTAATGCCGTAAAATGGGTTAGGAATCTAATTGTAATTTTTCTTAATTTTAAAATAGTGTTCTTAAGACACCCTGGTTGCTCAGGTTTGGAAGAAGGAATAATGAAAGTGTTTATTTCTTTATGTGCACACTCAGTGGCACTGTTTTTATTTGCATATGGAAAGCCAAGTCTCGCAGCAACAACAGCGTCAGATGAAATAAGGAGAGCTCTTTTAATATTAGAACAGCAGCAGAAGTGAACTCTTCATCAAAGATTTAGGGACTGGTCCTGCAGCCTTTCTTTGCAAGAAGAGTTTTTTGTTCTCATAGAGTTGTTTTAGGTCTTACAGCCCGTATTCAGATGTGATGCTCTTACCCTGGAAAGGGGTAACTCTGCAAGCATTTGGGTTTATTTAATTTATCATTATCAGACCAAGAGATCCACCCATTCTACCTTAATCCAGTATCCCATTTCCTATGGTGACCAGTCAGATTCCTTTGAGAAGCCCACCAGGAACTGAAACATTGTTATAGAAAATCCAAATTGGCTTTTGTTTTTGGGGAAAATAATATAAAACAAGACTATTTAAGTATCATAATTGAATTTTGAAAAAGATCCCAGTCAAATAAAGTTTGATAATCTTTACCATGAATTTGGAAAGTAGGAGATGATTGTAACCCAATGAACAAAGGAGGTAAATAATTATTTTAAAGCCTTAAGCTTTCCTAAGAAGGGGAAGAGAGTTGTATATAGTGTCAGTATATGGTTTTGTTATTATGTGGCACTGGATTTGGCCATACCTGAGCAGAATAAATAATGTCTTGTTCTAGCTCAGTTCCTGTTGCACATAGAATAAAATTATTTTTAGCTTCCTCTAAGTCCTCCATGACAGGGGACAAGAATAATAACAACGTACATGGGATAATGCTGTGGCAAGGAGAGAATCAAGGTTCATACCAAAACCAGCACCCTAAATCTTAGTGTCAATTCAGTTTAATTGGGTTGTAGATTATGCTAGATGTTACTCAGCATCATCCCTGGAACTCTCTTTTTCTCTCAGGGTATTATTTTTGTGCCTAGATTGTGTGGTATTTTAATGGCCTGTTGCATTATTATTTTATTTGTCTTACCTATAAGACAAATGCAAAAGAGTGTTTAGTTTTTTTAAAATAAAAAATGAATAAAACATATGGAGTTTGGAATCATTATCAACACTACAGGACCCCTGTGGAAATTGCTGAGAACTTACTTTCCTAATTTGATAGCTAAAGACCTCCTTTTTCTGACACACATTAAGGTTTTTGATTGATACCTTTTTATGGTTACTGGGTGATCGTCTCTCTGTCAGTTGGTGAAAGCAAATGCAATCCGCTAACAACCGTGAATCAATACGGTGGTCAGTATTCACACGTCTATTGCCGAGAGTTTTCTGATATTCGTTGCTACCCTAACCTGCTTTCCTGTTCTTTCCTACGCACTGCAAGTGACCTCTGTAAACATACAAATTCCAGTTCACTTTCCTGCAGATTCAAGAGTGTGAGTCAGTGCCCTGAGGGAATAATGAGGAATTCATTGCTGTTGCTACAAAGAATGAAGTAGGAGAAACAATGCACATTTTCTCCTCAGAATGAGAGGAACAAAGAGTACCAGACTTGAAGACCATGGAATTGTAGTGGTAGCTAATTTGTAGTAGCTAATTTGAAAATGAGATCAGGGACTGCCTTCTGGCCAGCGTGGAGTGGACCAGAATGAGACACCCACATAAAGAATAGAGCAATGTGAGAGTGTGTGTGTAAAAGTGAGGGGGGGAGCACTTTGTGAAAACTGTTTCCCTGCATCTGCCATGTCAGACCCTAGAATTGATTGTGACCTGGTTCACGAAGTTGTATGGTTGCATGGAGGTTTTGGCAGCAAAAACTATGGGCAACTATCCTGGTTCCAATTCACTACAGAATGCTTGAATACTCAAACTGGGAGGAGGCTGAGAGTGCACATGCCAGCTCTAACCTCAAGGCCCCTGAATGCAGCACCCTCAACCTTCCCATATGGACCAAGAAGGACTGAAGGGAGCTTTTAAGCATATTCAGTTGAACGTGCTTAGAAGCCCACCTGCAGTTGGAAGGCAAGTAGAACTGGGCAGTCATACCACAAGGTCCCTGGAACATGGAAGATTTAAGTTTAAGAGAATGCTGCCAACATGTTGTTGCACCTCTGACATGACAGTTAATTTAATAAATAGTTAATTTTAATAATAATAATAATAATATAGACTGCTTTGTCATGAATTCTACTCATATTGATCCAGAGCAGATTCCAAAGCATAGTTAGCAGAGTAAAAACTTAAAACAGGTTGCATAGACCAGAGGAAATTAATATTTCATCCAGCAGAGCTTTACCGTGACTTTAGGCAAATGAGCATAATGGTCACAAATCCAATACATTGAGGATTAGCACAGTCCATAAGAATCCAGTTGCAGCAGACTTAACTTAAACTTACAATAACTTATCATAAGACTAAAACCTGAACACTAAGCATACTATATACAGAACACCACACCAGAAGGAAAGAGAGATAGAAAGTGAAACGCAGGCTCCTTCTGGCCTTACTCTTATAGTCAGCATGACGTTGACAGAAAGAGATAACAGGACCAGTGTAAGCCAGCTGTACTCAGCTTCTCTGAAGGAATAACCCAAACATAATGAACCTTCTGCCCATTTCTAGGCAGAATAGAAACTTAAGTGTCAGCTAGAAACTCCCAGCTTGCACCAGTTTCTTTCACACAGATAAGCTTCCAGAATCTTCTTGAATTAATTAGAATAGGAAAGATCTCTACACATCAGATCAATACTTTCCGTACCAAGAAATGCAAACTGACATGCTTTCACACAGGGCATTTACTTTTTATGGGGCATCTGCATAATCTCATGATTTAAAAAAACCCATTATTTCCCCTTTCAGCTTCCATTTTACCTGAAAGTCAGAAAATTCAACTTCTCCAAGTGTCCAATTTCTCCAGGTGTAGATGCCCTATCTTGCAGCTGATCCACAGGTGGGGGCAGTTGCATCTGTATAGATTGCTCAACTCATTTCCTTTTCTATGGCCTATATTGCCTCTCTAGGAATCAACTTTATAGCTTTAACACTTCATTTTCCAAACAGCATTGCCTTAATATCCATTTTTCTCCCCCTTCCTTACCCCCCTCCCACACAATTACAGTGGGAAGACAGTCATGACTGGGAACAGCTAGAAAGTGAGGTTTCTGGTGTGGGTGGGTGTGTTATGGTCATGGCATCAAAGTGAGGAGAACCAAGAAGGGAAAGCAAAGGAACTAATGAGAGAAAGGATTGGGGAGCATTTATCTTGTCAGTAGAAATAACTGGATTTATTTTGTGATTTTTTTTATCATTGCTTCTTTTTAAAAAAAAAAAATCCCCAATAGAGTGCTTTCCCAGGAGTTCTGAAAAAACTTTTTCACATATGTGATCTTATCAATAGTTCCATGCAAGAAAAGACATTAGGTTCATAGTCAAGACAGTTTCCTTCATACGTTGCTTAGATTCAGAAATGACATAAGCCTTATGAATAATGTAGTGTGTGCATATTGTCATCTTTGGATAATATCATCAAATACACCAAGAATCCCTCTAAATTATTGTTCGCTCAAATACCTCCCTCAGTCATGAGGCTGAATTAAATTGAAAGCACACAGCCAGGATCCAAACAAGGGTAAATTTAACAGCAGTCATAAACTCTGCTGAAATCTGGAATAATTGTATACCCATTATTAAACTGGCCCAGAGTCCCCATTTACAGAAACCAGGGGTCTTTCTGATCATGGAGTTTAGACCAGTCATCTGCTTAATCTGGTCTTAATCAATGTGGACTTTTTATTGTTACTTTTTAGAATCAAGATAATATTTGATCTGTGGGCAAGAGAAATGTGCTATAAATGCAGAGATTTTCCCCTGTGTGCTCCATGGAAAATATACTATTATAGAAGGTCTTTTTAAATAAATAAAAATTAGTACACATAACACAGTGCAAAACAAAAAACCTCACTCTATGGAATATATGGAAATTTTAAAAAATGTGTTATCTCTTCCTTTTCTAAAAAAAACAGGTAATGGAGACAATTTACAATACAAAAAACCAGGGACCGTGGAGAAGAGTTGCTGTGGTATACGACGATCCAGTCTGTTATTATTGCAGAACAGTTTCCAATAGGGCATACCTTGGATCCTGTCACACCTGGGAAATACTCTGACGCTGTGGTTCATAAAGACTTATGACCATTTCATCTCTTGTTTGCCAATGTCTGTGGAAGTGTTTATCTAAATGGCTCAACATTTGCTCAAATCAGCAGCATCCCCACCATCCTCATCACCACCATCATTAAATTGTTTTCTTCACTACTCTTTGCCATGAGGTCTTAGAACAGGTTATCAGCTTAAAACCTTTGGGGGGAAATCATAAGAAAGCTCAACAACTTCAATCCTATAAAAAGTCAACAACTTTGGTCAGCCCTTTGGTCGGCCCTCGCGGCCCTTCACTTCATCAAATCTGGCCCTCTTTGAAAAAAGTTTGGACACCACTGGTTACTCCACAAACCTCTGAATGCAGAGGAATTAGCATGTGGGCACCTCCCTAAATTTAATCCCAAAGAGAGTCTGTAAGGAAGGAGGCAGTGTTTCAGATATTTGGAGCCTAAATAGTTTATGGCTTTAAATTCTTGAATTGGGTCCAGAAATGTTCTAGTAACCAGTTGATGTTAAATTGGAAGTGTCTCCTTGACTTCAGCTTATGTTACATTATTTTTGCTTGCTGAAGTAAAATATATTGCACAACCACCCCTCCCACAGCAGCAGCAGCAAGACACACACACTGACTAAACAATACAGAAGACCTCTCCCCATATCAACCTGCCTGTACTTTAAGATCAACATAATGGGCTCTTCTATTGTTTTACTATTAGGGAGGCTCATTCAGGGACATAATGCAGAATAGACATTAAACAGTTGAGCTGTTCAGGTTTGTATGAGTGGCTGGTGTGTTTTTTTTAAAAAAGGTTTCTTTTTAAATTTATTTATTTAAATAATACAGCAAAAATAGAACATCAACAGAAAAAAAATGAAATGAAATTAAGGGGGGGGACACAGTTCAAAAACACTGAAAACAAATATACTTGTTGTATAGTACTCCCCCCACCCATCCACCCACAGCTTCCCTCCACTACAATTCAACTTCTTTAAATCACTATCTCCACATTTATCCTTGCATTCTCCAAATGTATTGGTATTTGTACTTCTTTTATTGTATGAGTGGCTGTTTTAGTTTCCAGTCCACTGTATTTAGTTGCTACCATTTGCTACTGTTTTTATAAATCTCATATATATATATATATATATATATATATATATATATACAGTGGTACCTCAGGTTAAGTACTTAATTTGTTCCAGAGGTCCATACTTAACCTGAAACTGTTCTTAACCTGAAGCACCACGTTAGCTAATGGGGCCTCCTGCTGCTGCCGTGCCGCCGGAGTACGATTTCTGTCCGCATCCTGAAGCAAAGTTCTGAACCATTATTTCTGGGTTAGCGGAGTCTGTAACCTGAAGCGTATGTAACCTGAAGCGTATGTAACCCGAGGTACCACTGTGTGTATATATATATATATATATATATATATATACACACACACACACACACACACACACACACACATATAATACATACATACCCCCAACTGATGGTTGTTTATAATTTATTTTATGTTGTACCCCACTCTGGCATCAGTACGGAAGATAGACACATTTACAAATCTTTTGAATAAACAAACTGGTGAATTTCATTAAACATTATATGGGAAATGGGGCAGAGCAAGCTATACACAGAGATGCTGTTTTCTGCAGGAGGCTTGTGTCTGCTGTAACTTTTAGATCTATCCATACATCTTCCCCACCTCCTACCCCGCACCACGTCCACGCTAAGGCGTTGCAGTGATTGGATAGGGGTTTCCTTTGTACAAAGTCCATGTGTGACTAGTAGGCTCACTTGCAAGCACCTGACATCACCTGCCAGCCCCTGGTCCAGCATCAATTCCACTGAAAGTGCAAGGGAGCCTGGCTTTTCCTTTGTGGAGAGATGAGGGCTGTCAGCCTTTCTTAGGATTCACTTTGCGGTCATCCTCGTTTCCGTGCAGAAGTATTCAGAGCTGCAAATTACATGCTCAAGCCAAACCCCAGCTAGCGTTGCATGGGGCTTGCATAGGAGCAGTGTGTGACAGATTACGGACTACATATCAATTCATTTGTCAGCCGCTGATCTGAGCTTACACCAGTGGGGAAGGAAGAACAATTTGTGTCTCTCGCAGCTTTTGTGATGCAGAGCTGTTGGTACTAAGAAGCAGGATTAGAACATCACCTCATTTCTCACACAGTGCAGAACACACTAGCAGCTGGCGGTCACTAGAGATCTTAGTCAGATTCAAATCACTAACCTAAAAGGTGAAAGCCTCCACATCCCATTACCAAATCCTAATACATCCCATCCCCCGGTCAATTAAGGGTTGATCATTATGAATTCCATGTTGGGTTAATTAATTACTATATCTGAACTCTGCCGTAGGATTTATTAGATCATCAGGGGCCTGCAATTTATTTTATTTAGTGCTGCATGAAACGGTTCTTTCAAAAAAATAAAAATAAATCCCTAACTAAAAATTTTAAGAACGCCGTGTTTTTTTTCCTATACACAAACTGCTATGTAGACATTACATATATTATTGAAGCAATCCTTTGGGATTGGCAGGAACAGCAAGGCAGCAAGCTAACAAGCTGGCCCAGAGGATAAAGTACATGTGGACCACCACAGATACAAGCAGCATGAAAGCCAGAGGGCCTGCAGAAACCATTGCCATGTTAATGAACCTCCGCATATAATGTGAAAAGGTTTGTTTATAGAAAGGTGCAGGATGGAAGGTTATTTTCAAATCCTCTTGGAACGAACCAGATTTGCTTTTCAAAATACACAAATATTAGAAAAAGAAGCTCAATGTCCAGGAGGTAAATCAATCCATCATTACCTACCCCAAGCTCCCATATTGCAGCTCGAGTAGAAAAATACTGCAAAGGACATTTGCCCTAATGAGGGACCAGAAATTCTCCTCATCCGCAAAGCTCATTCCTGAAAGCTGTCCTGCATGCCATGACTTACCCCAGTAGCCAACAAAGAAAATAAGATCTACATTTGCTTAGGAGCACATGTGAAGTAGTAAAGAATACAGCTTTTGAGTATGTGTAAACTGTATTTCTCTTACTTCTGAATAGAGATGGGGGAAATTGATTCAGTTTGCATTTAAAGGCAAATCCTTTATCAAATTTTAAGGCAAATCAAATTCACACTTACCAAAGCATTATGTGAACGGAAAACAGTTATCCCTTGACATTTACACTTTTCCGAATTTTGCAATGCATAGAAAATTGTGCATAAAAATGAATATATTTATGAACATAATATACAAACATGTATTATTGGGGGGCTGCTTGCAAAAATGTGTACATTGATAAAAACGGTGTGCAATGTGTTTATGAGGTGAAATTCACACTAAAATCCTGATGTGTTTTCATAAGATTTAAACAAAAATCCCAGATTGCTGAAAAAATGCAGAGAACTGAATTTCAGATTGGAAAAATGAGAAACTGGGAGAACAGAAATTGACAGATCTTTCCATCCCTACTGCTGAGTGACCATTGCTTTCAAACCCCCACCCCCTTATCTGGCATTAGGTAGTCCAGTAACAGGACACGGATCTAAGACATGTTTGATCACCACCCAACACTTTCTATTTTACACCCAAATGACAGAAAAAACCACGCAGAACTACCCCCAAATCAGTGCGTCCAGAGTTACTACATGAACAACAGATATCTGATATCTAGGATGATTATGGAGAACAAAGGAAGCTGCTTTACCCAATCACACCTTCGGTCCATCTAGTTCAGCATTGTCAACGCTGACTGGCAGTAGCTCTCTCACACTTCTCTCTTTCCCATCCCTAGCTGGGGATGCCAAGAATTGCACCTGAGACCTTGTGCGATCGTGCAGAGCA